TTACATTAGAAGTCTCAGAATCGGGTTGCTTGCCGTCATCATATATATTTATGATATAGCTTTAATTCACACGAACAACTCTACAAACATAAATAAAAGTATAACGATTATGGATCCTTACAGTATGGACGCAATCTTTCCGTAAAATACCTCTTTTCTTATTGATTTCCTGTACAGAGATTGTGATTGGTCCTCATCTAATGAGAATCTCGAAAATTAACTGTAGAAAAGATTTTCGACCTGTGTGTATCACCAAAGGCTTATGTTGCCCTTGGAGCACTTCGCCGTGTCGCATTGAAGCTGAAGGGACAGAAAGCTCTACATGGCTCTAGTCGTTTATCAAATCTCTGTGTGGCATTCCAACAGCTCTCAGTGGCAAGGTAGGGATTGGAGGCGATATCGGAATTATTAGCCGTGGAACAATTCATCAATAAGCTGCCATACATGATGACAATTTGGTCTCCACATTTGCGCTCAATACTGGCGTATTTGGAGATCAATTCCCTCTTTACACCCTAAGCAGTGGGGTGAGCCCCTTCTAGCAAACGTTCATTTGCCATTCAGAGAGTGTGTAGCTTAGAGTATTGGGGATTGAACACAGACGTTGGTTCTACATCAAGCATTACGGTGTTTCAGCTGACGAATTCGAGGCATAATTCTACATAATAGGTGCAAATCCATCAACAACAGTGGTTAAATTAACACTTGTGCCACAGATGTTGTCATTGTCAATGCCCAAGCAAATGTATTGTATCGCTTTCTAACCTTCTGAATCCTTGTCACATTGTCCCTTTTTATATATTATTTTTCATTACAGCTAAAATGGATAGAATTATCATTAAACCGCCCGCACGTTATCAGAAATGAGCGGGCCACTGTAACTTGATAATGCCCTTATAATGTTTGACAACGGGCCATTATCACGCCCGTTGTTAGGTGACGTCATAGGGTAGGGTAAGGGTATTTGATAACAAATTCCATCCATTTTAGCTATAATAACGGTAACGCTCTTTTTCAGGGCATTATCATTTGCAGAAGCCCTCGGGCTTTTCAACTGCCCTCCTTCGTCGGGCAGTTAATCGAAGACCTCGGGATTCTGCAAATGATAATGCCCTGAAAAATAGCGTTACCTCTATATTAATTTTGATCATCTTTTGTATCTCTAAGATTTTTTACCGCCTCCGTGGTCTAGTGGTAGAACATCCGCCCGGAGAGCGGAAGGTAAGGGGGTTCGATCCTGGCGTTCGGCATTGAGGGGCTAAAACAAGGATTTCTCGGCATGAAGTCAGTGTACTGTGTCTGAGTGTGATATTCAAGTTACACTGCAGCATGTTATCTCAGTGGTCTAGCACTATAAGATCGTCATTAGTCCGTACTACAACAAGCAGGATACACACACGCACACGCACACGCACACACACACACACACACACACACACACACACACACACACACGCACACACGTGGCCCAGTCGTCTAAGGCGCCGCGATTCGCTGTGCATAGTTGCGTCCTTTGGGCACGCCAGAAACCTATGATTGTGGATTCGAATCCCGGTTCACCCCGAATATGTTTCTAGTCAGCACCATACCCGTGCTCGTGGGTTTCACCGAAGTAGTAAACGTCTAAGATCTGCATCACTACTGGCTTTCCTCCCACATTAAGCTGACACACCGTGATATAACTAAAATACTGTTAAAAGCGGCGTTTAACCCAACTCACTCACTCACTCTTAATTGGTGAAAAGCTCCTCTTTGTGAGAGTAAAAAGATAACTAAGTATGTTCAGTCTGTAGAGTTACAAAATTCGCTCGTGTTTCCTCCTGCAGGTAAGATGCACAATTTGTCCCCTGAGTGAGAGTGCGCTCACAGACGCCTTAAAGTCGCACAAAAGCTAAATAAAATGGCAGGTCTTTTCACATATCGAACCCAGCCAGAAGTATTTATTTCCCATAAATCCAAGCAGATGTCGATCACAGGAAAATGCATCTTTCAGACAATAAATATTAATATACGTCACGATGACGTGGTACCATAGGTCATTTTGCTGGCTCGCTTCCCCGTTTGGATTGCTGAACAAAACAGTGTATGCGATTTGTTAAAGTCGGATTGTGTTACACAGTAGGACTTTACTTAGACTACTTTGGGAGGAATAATACTGTATTTTCGATTTTAGGGGACTTTGTTTTGGAGAAGAGTTTTACAACTTAAATGGACATGGAAACATCTGATTACACGCTTTACATAATTTCTCTTCTTTTTATGACGTCAGTGAGGAGAACACCATTCCAATTGCAGCACCCATTAAGCAACGCCATACATGTATGTCCGCTCTGAACGCCAAGCGTACTTCGAAAGTGACGTCATCGTCATTGGCAAGCCTATTTACATCAACACAATGATCAAATTAACACAGGTGAATCTTTCTGGTTAAGTGATAATGATGTGACAATGATGGTTCAGAGGTCTGTGCATTTGTCTTTAGGTATTGACCACTCGTTGGGAGTGGTAGAGGTTTCGTGTTACGTAAAGATTAATTCACTTCTATAACGATTTACATGAACGCGTGTCGCCGCTATCAATAGTCCAGACTTTCACCGATTTTATATTGCTAGCCCACTGAGGAACAATACCATAGTTTCACGTCGATACCCCACTCAGACACATTTTCATATTCCGTCCCGACCAGTATAGGTTTTATCCCATTAACGCCAGGCGCCAGACAGGGTAACGACAACGTACTTTGGTGTGAGCCGACCAGGGGTCGAACCGCCGACCTTCCCCTGTCCGGGCAAACCTCTATCAACTACATAACATTATGCCACTTTTGCACAGAGTTACGGTGAGATATTGTAGCTTATATTTCATACGTTCTTTGATCCATGGTGTGTCAGCATCGTACATGTATCCGTTATATACTAATACCTGGATCACCTGACCCTTGATGATCCGGGGTAGAATAGGTCTTCAGCAACCCAGGCTTGCTGTAAAAGGCGACTATGCTTGTCGTAAAAGGCGACTAACGGGATCGGGTGGTCAGACACGCTGACTTGCAATTGGTTGATGCATGTCATCGTATCCCAATTGCGTGGATCGATGCTCATGATGTCAATCACTGGATTGTCTGGTCCAGACTCGATTATTTACAGACCGCCGTCGTAGAGTTGGAATATTGCTGAGTGCGGCGGATCACCTCGGATTTTCCTCCTCCATAGCACTACCACGCTGTATTGACTGAAATACTTATCAAAACGCCGTAAAACTCTTCTCATTCGCTCAATTTAATTGGGTTTTTAAACGTGCTTGCGACAATATTTGTGGTTTGTTAATAATTTGAGGTTCATTCCCATGGTAGAATTAAAAAACATCTGTCTCTCATCATCTGTGTAATATTCTAATGATTTTTGCCCCTACTCATGTTAAAGTACCTGCAAGCATGACGTTAATTAAGCCATCATTGAAGAAATCCGAATCAGACGGAAATGTGTTATTATTCTTTCCCGAATGAGTTTTCATTTTTTAGTACAACGTTCCTCTCATTCACACAAAAGGCTGTGACAATGATAATTGTGACGTTAATAATTTAGAAAAAAAATGGTTTTTGTAATGCACAGATTGTTCATTAACGATATGGACATGAAACTCATAGTATAGCATTTGGTAAAAACCATGTTCAAGGAAATGTGCTGGTGACAGTTGACTGAAGAGAAAGACAGAGGTGGTCGATTGGCTGATATTAATATTAATATTCCGTTAATGAAATATCCTCATCCTGCTCTTACACTGTAACAGTAGTAAACGATTTGTCTCCAGCTTCTGTGACAAGCAAAAAAGTGAAAAGTGAAATTAACAGAATACCTTTTTGCCCAGTGACGTGAATTGGAAGAGAAAGAATAGACAGTGATGGACAAGCACAATGTGATTAAACGTGATCAAAGACTTGCTCTTTGCTGTCAATGTACGGAGGCATGTGGTTTGATATTGCTCTCTCAATAACTCTTCTCCAGATTTTAAAGGCAGCAACACTTTTTAATGGTGATAAAATACAAAGAACAATGGCGTCAAGGCATCTTTGGAGGCTTCCGTCCCAATTTTGATCTGTTAATATATTATGATTTCATTAATGGATATACATGGTGTGCATTTTAAACGATGAGGCTCAAGTTTGATCCACATATGGAATGTTTTCTTATTGGATTCAAGGCCGGTCGCTAAGAGTTGCATGAATTCTGTATTTCTTGTGGCAATACGTATGGTATAAGGGAGAGAACTCGATTATTTACCGCTTCACATCCAGCAAGAATCGGGCATCTGATATACAAGGGTTTCAAGGACTTTCAATCATGGCTCTCGGTTTCTTTTCCTTTTGAAAGGGGCATGCTAAAACTGCATATTGACGTCACTACATAACCGTTCATTACATCTAACGTAAAGACAAAGCAAGAAATTGTCTCTTTTCAGTTGCAGGTGATTTGATACTTTTCAAAGTCAAACAACAGGTGATTTATAAACTAATGGATCTTTTCGACACTAGTGTATTCCAGCTGACCCATAAACCTTCTGAGTGTGTGACATATTCATAATGATACAGTAGGCTTATGGAATCCACCTTCTTTTATTCTTCAATACTACGTTTCGGTACAGATGCTGGTTACCAACAGCTGAGCTTCCTTCCAATCATGACTTATTTGTGTTAATCTCTGTACATGTTATACTTAGCTATATGTCCCACTCAGTCGTTGATCATTGTCTTGATAGAGGTACTACAATTTGTACCAAAACGAAGAATTGAAAAATAAAATTTACTGATAGTTGTGCACACACACACACACACACACACACACACACACACACACACACACACACACACACACACACACACACACACACACACACACACACACACACACATATATATATATATATATTTACATATATATATATATATATATTGTTTATGTATTTAGATCAATGCATTAAAAAACAACAAACATTCTCAAACGTATTTTCAAAACATAAATTGTATTGTTTTATTAAATGACAAATATATAGTTTCATAAGAACATAGATACATTTTTCAAAGCAATTTTATGCTTCCAAATGGCTGCTTTATAAATAAACATACGTATATACACTAAAACCTGAAGACATGTCAAGGTAACCGTCTATATTGTAAGGAAACCATGGATGAGAAAAATCGTTTAAGGGAGGGTTGTGTTTATGCAGTATTTCAGTTACTGGTACCACGGCTTATCAGCTCTTGGTATAGTCGGAATCGTACAATCGACGTTTATCGCTGTTATTTACAAACTAATATGTACACCCTGTGATATATATGGATACTTCCCAATATTAACATAGTACCGTCCTCTAACATTCTTCTTAATTCATAATCAGGTATCGAGCAGATCCTGGTCTAATGCTGCGCTTGTTTCAATAAGAACGTTCCAGTTAAAGGGGGTCTTTGCCGGGCCTGATTGACAGTCCATTCAAGTTTGATTCAAGATGTCAAAACGCTATCATATGTATCTACTAACGCCAACTGTATAGTGTAGATTCATGTAGCAGTGAGTCCACTTACTAACTATCTACAGTTCGGTCATGACATTAATTACACCATCTGGATGCAGGATGGAGTGAGTGATAATTGCTTAACCCGTATCAGCAATTTTGCAGCTATTCGCGGGGATAGAATAAGGTGAAAACAGATCCTCTTTTAAACGAATGATTTCAGTGTTTCAGTTATTAACAACGTGACAGCTTGGTGTGGGAGAAGAGCCCGTAGCGATAAACGTTTTGGATGTTTACCACTTTGGTCAAAACAACAAGTAGAAGTATGGTGCTGACTAAACTAGAAACATAATCAGCGCGAACCGGGATTCGGACATACTATAATAGGATTCTTGCACGTCAAAGGGACATAACTCTGTATAATACCCGTGTCACCGGACCATCGTTAAAGGTGTTTTAGCTTCGCACGGTTATCATACGCATGTTTCAACTGTGATGAAATCTATTGTTTTCGATCACAGAACATCCTTATCGATGGGGAAACGGCGGTGTTGGGGGAATGCTTTGTCGTATAATTGACTTTCATTTCATGGCATTGTTTCTAGCTCAATGACCCTGGCATAAAAAATGACTCCAACATTTTCAGAGAAGCTTATCATTTTATTAATGCAAGCAAGAGACACTCGCTTTCTAGGCACTTATTTCTCGCTCGCAATCCTTTTATGATGTAATGTATCGAGGTCTATTGTTTTGGTGCCGTGTTCTAGACGATGGCACAAATGCCCTGTGTCAAAATGGTATTCCGGTACTCTGCAGTTAAGGTAACTACCCATTGTTAGATTAAACGCGATCAAAAACAGTTGAGTTCGGTGATAAAACGTCCTGGATTAAACAGTGTATTATATTCCTATTCTTTTATGATAAATATGTTGGCTTTCTTTTTAAAGTGACGTCACTTTCACATAGCTCCTATCGGAACTTTGCACATAATCGCTCTCGACCCGTGAAGATCCGACAACGAACAAAAAAAAAAACAGAAGCTAGTTTCACTGTTCTGCTATTTTAGCGTCGTTTCGGATTCAAATATTGTTGCGAATTGGTCCAGGTTATTTATCAGAATAGAATAGAATAGGATATAATTACCTGGATAATCGAGGATGGGTGATTGTATGAATGACCTTAAATAAAATGTTATGTTGACAGAGCTTCACCAATGTTCAAATAACATAGGATGATGATGATGATGATAACGATGATGATGACGATGCGATGATGATGCCGATGATGATGTCTAAAATGTAGGTCCCTTTTATGGTTCATCTTCAGCCTTGTATCATCATACAAATCTTTTGACATAGCCGTATGCTAATGAAGTTATTGGCATTAGGGCTGCAGCCTCCGAAGACAAAAGGTTCGCAGTTGCCGGATCGGTGGTTGAAGTAGTAGCGGATGACTGTGCCTGTGCAAAGACCTCTCATCTGGGGGAGCAAACACGCTGCAACACGGACGTCATCATGTTATCCCAAGCACATGTTATATACAGTAGCCACATGGATAACAAACGTGAATTAAGCAGCTATGTGGTAACACATATATGTAACAGCTAAAATATCAGGATAACATAAGAAACCCGTAACGAGTAAATGGACGTAAATCAATGTAAGAAGCTGGAAACTGAAGAAAACACATTGAGACAAATACAGTAGAAATGCAACAGTTATATTTTTAACAAGGTACAGAAGTTATGTTGTTTTGTTTTTTTAACACCGCAATCAGAACTATTCCAGCCATATCACGGTGGTCTGTAAATAATCGAGTCTGGATCAGACAATCCAGTGAGTGACATCATGAGCATCGATCCACCCAACTTTGATACGATGACATGCATTAACTAAGTCAGCGAGCCTGATCACCCAACCCCGTTAGTCGCCTTTCACGGCAAGCATGGGTTGCTGAAGACCTGTTCTACCCCGGATCTTTATTGGGTCACAGAAATGATAGCTCAAACCCCAGTACACGTCCACAAAATGAATGAGTGAGTGCATAAATAACTTGGTTGAATCAAGATTCAGAGTTTGACATTGTGTTTAAACGGTATCGTACCTTTCGGCATTGGGAGACAAACAGGCCTGCTCCCGAAGGCGGTGCATCGGGTCCCAAATCGACACTTTTTGTTCTGTGAAAAGAATCGACAGTTTAAATCTATCCATACATCCGTACACCATATTCGGTTTGTACTCAAGCATGCGGTTACATGTATGTGGATATTATGTTTATATACTCTCCAAAAATAGTAGGGGGTCATGAAATATATATGTTATGATCGGTTTTCAAAGTCAGCTTTGAAAAATGACGCCATAACGGGTTCGAAAGCAAACGATAACGTCCCAGTCAACCGAAACATTGCCCGTGGACCATGCAATTCCTCAGTGTAGGGAGTCTTTCTTGATTTTGACACTTCAGAAAAAGGTCTTCAAATAGCTTCGAGCAATTAGTATTTTCAATTTTCGATCTCGACATTCTCGTAGGCGTGTACGAGTATGAAGGCGTTCTAACGAACGTCACGCAGACGTCAGTATTGCAGATTTGGGCTTGGTCTGCATCGCTATGGATGGCGGGATCAGTATGACTGCCAGAACGCCCACTGGAAGAGCTACTGAACAGTTCTACCGAGGCAACATCCTGGCGCCAATAGTTGTGCTGTCTGCGCGCCATGCTTGTCCACCTTTTGTCTTATAAGACGATGGCGCTCGTGTCCACTGAGCCACCTCCAGCGGCAAACCTTCACCAGAATGCAATGACCAGTCATGAATCCTGAGTTTTGTCCCATAAAGCACGGCTGGGACATGATCTGGAGACGTGTACGCCGAAGTTGAAAGTTACCCGTTACGTTGGTTGAACTTGCCTAAGAGTTGCAAGAGGAGTGAACAAGACTCAAATTGTCATTGGAAGATTGATTCGGACCATGCCATGCCCTACAAATGAATGTTTGACCAATCGTGGAAGCATGACCCATTTTGATCAAGTCATCTCAAACGTTCCTTTTTTTACTACACACCCGTGTAGCACCTAGTCCTTCCTTTTTGCTTATCGATCAATTGTCATCATTTGATACCTCTTTGTATTTATGTTATCATTTGTTATTTTCAAATATTTCCTTTTTTGAGAGAACATAATACGTATATATTAAAGAAACAAATGAATATGTACTGTGGCATAATACAGCGAGTGCTTTTCCAGATATGTTATGAACATTCTAGTACCTGGCAAGGATTCGAAGGCAATCCTGCTTTGGACGAACACTGGCACTTGTCCACAGCTGGCTTCTGTCGACACATTTGGTTACACAGACGTGCAGAAGGATGCCCAGATATTGCGAGACCTGAAACGGCACGTTAATAGAATATTAAACAGGACTTACGAAAACAAATGCAGCTGCTATTACAAACAAGTATATTCTATTTGTGTCATGCTTGACCGTAACAACTGGACATCTTATTATTTTGTTCTCCAGTTGATCGAGGGACTTTGATTGTTTAAATGAGTTCACGTGAATACTTTGGTGCTCATGGTGTACCACTGATGCCTTGTCACTCCATCATTCTGATTCAGGGGCTGGTGGGTAGCCAAGCGCTTATACAAAACGTTCGCTCGTCACTCCGAAGGCCCGGGTTCGATTCTCAACATGGGTACATTGTTCGAAGCTATATCTGGTTCACCCACCGTGACATTGTTGGAATATTGTGAAAAGCGACGTTTAACCATTCTTTGTACATTAATCCTGTGTCATTGGCGTTGTCATTATATTGTTATCTTTGTATATTCATCTCACCTTGTGTAAACATATCATGACATAATTTTATGCACTTACTAAGCATTCACCTGCTGAAGGAGGAAGACGTAGCTCTGAAACGTCGTGGCAAAGAATACAATAAGTTTCTATCCAAAAAAAGTGTCATTTATTCTGCTTAAAAATAAAACAATGCTGTACGTTTACAGCTCGTGATATACCTGGTTCCGAAGGCTCCTCAGGTCCTTGGCTCGCCACTGCCACCAGGGTACACACCAGGAGGCTCCAAATCAACGCAGTACGTGTTTTCATCATATAATCAAGCATATCTACCGTGAATCCGGCATTGAAAGTTGACTCTAAAAAATACAATATTGGACACATATTCATAAGCTGGATCTACACGTATGTTCCAAACATACGACTTTTTTTTTTACTCCATATCTTTTCATTGTGTTAACATTATCTGTGAAACCATTAAACATTATCTTCTTAAATAAATAGTAAACAGCATGGTATTTCTGGATATAAATATTCCTACAATGACATACAAGTTTTAGGTTTATTTTCTAACAATAATAACCATCAGTCACGTTTATTCCACGTGATTAATATTATAATATCCATCCCTCAGATCTTTTTGCGTTTAGTTTTCGTTCAATCTAATGCAGCTTATGTTTTTAACTAAATGTATTCTTCAAAGCTTTTACCCTTAGGTGATTAATTAGTTGTGTGTTAATTGACACATATCACAGTTCTTTTCCAAAAATAGTTATAGTTGTAAAACTTGCTTCCGGTAGATAAGATTCGTATTGTTTTCAGAGCAAGGACTGTTTGACCTTGGCAGTCACATAGGGAGTATCAAACATTAGCATCTGAACCGGAAGTGTTCGGGGCTTAATTGATGATTGATAACTTAACACCTCTATCCCTGCCGGCAAAGCTCTCCTGTACATCCACTATATTATAACCCCCAGCCTGATGATTTCATGTCAACACTATTCAATTTTGTTAACGATGCAAGGTTTTCTTATTGGGACATTCATGCTGAATACATCCGTTCTTTTGCACTGCATTCACCCGAAATAAAGCCACAAAATATGGATTGAAGGCCGCTGTGTGACATACAAGACATATAAAGGGCTATGTCATAGTGGTATTCGTCATCACATCTTTGTCACAAGAATAGAAAAGGAGACGAAACTAAATGAGTGTTTTGAATTACCTGTTCTTCACACTCAAATCAACTTGTTTGCTATACGTCTGAGCGTGTTCCAAAAACAGCCTTCGTGCGTGAAGGTCAAGGTTATTTAACTGTGTCCCGAGTTGGTTGTTCTTGATATAATTTCGGACGAATCGTTACACCAGACCAAACCTGACCTAAAGTCATTTCGTGTAATGTGCCTTGGTCCACAGTTCATTTAAATGTTTAAATGTTTGATAACTGAGCATTTTGTCTGTATGATATAAGTTTAAACTTTGGACATTTTATGTTTAATCAACAGTATAAGAATGTAAGTTTCAATTACGATTCGAAATAAATTTAAAAGCTTAAGAACATGCGATAAAAAGGGACAGTACTCACCCAACAGGTCGTATATGTCCGATACTGGTATAGGATTGTGGTTGTTACGTCATCGACGTCATAAAATAGCAGCGCCCTCTCACGGCTAAACTTCCTGCCTAGTGTGGCCAGGTGGGGGTGCAGTCCCGGGCCCGACTAGTGGAATGTACGGACGTCCGAGGCCCATCAATCTCCCTGTCACTGCTCCCTCTCTTTTCCATAGGCCATATAACCTGGATCAGATATTTAAACACACCCTTTTAGCACTCACTGGGGAATGCTGATTGAGATGATTTAAATTGATCATATTCATGTACTATTAATTTGAAACAGGCAATTATGGAATCATGCTTATATAATTTTATATAATTACAAAAAATATTATCCCCTTCAGCGTGATTACGTCATGCGGAAATTAAGTTCAACGCGTATGAATATGTTTGTTTGTTGTTTAACACCGCTCTCAGCATATGTCAGTAAAACATATTGGAGGAAAAGGTGTGGCGTTATTGGTCTGTATTGTTTGACTTCACTTGATACCCTACATCTTCAATGAACACTTACCTATATTATCGTTATTTATGGTCTGAAGTGCCTACACTAAAAGAATAAATATACTCCAAGTTTGTATGTATATATCACTACCAATATATCTGTGCATGGATTATTCCTTTGACCGTTTGACCTTTCGATACAAGTACAATGCCATGTTTACTTCAACAGCATAGGTAAACACATCCATCATTCATATCTGTCTTGCCTTGTCATTTTAATGATTGGTTGAATAGTTTAACAACCAACATCACAGCGAACAGACTGGGTGTAAAGGTCTCTATCATAAGCCTGGCTATGTCATGCTTCGCTGAGTTTCGTTTGCTTATTCATAAGATGTAAAACAAAACAAATGGGAGTGTATGCTTTCAGACTAGTCTCTGTGTATGACGACCCTTCTTTATAGGTATCTTATTAATATTTTGAGCTGCAATTCGTTCTGCAGAGTTGCGTCCCTTGGGCACGCCAGAAACATATGACTGTGGGTGCGAATCCCGGTTCGGTCTGAGTGCTAAGTTTGTATCCAGGTTTATCAGCACCATACCCGTGCTCGTGGATTTCACCAACGTGTTAAGCGTCTGAGACGGGCATCACTTCGGGCTTTCCTCCCACATGAAGCTGATACGCCGTGATGTAAGTAGAATACTATGCGGCGTCAAACCCAACTCACTCACTCAAACTTTTTTTTACAAATGTGTCATTTGTCTTGGCTTTATCAAATATTAATTGATCAATATTTATCAGAACAACTGCGATTAAGTTGGATTTTTTTCACATCATGCCAACTCCATACCCGGACATTTTAACATTTAAAGCTCCAAAATTTCCAAATAAAACTTTCCATATCGAAAACTCGATAAAATCTGAACACACATAATGTATTTATCTCTTCAATCAAGATCTGGCCTAATTGCTTATGTCATTGTTAATACCTATTGCATGATTATACAAGACACCAAACATTAATGCATTGGTCCAATGCATGTATCAGTGATATAACATCAGCTTGTTGGAGACACGAAGCCTGGGGGTCCTATCACGTCATCGGATATACATCATACTACATCAATGCAAGGTCAGTGTAGACATGGTTGCTGGTAAAATAACTTTTTCAAGATTCAAGATTTCAAGATTCTTTATTCAATATTTTGGGCCATGTGGCCTAGAGTACAATTACAATTACAATAATTGCGTCACGTTGTGTCAGGAAAATAGATACAGGTAGTCTTATTTCACATTAAATACATGATTTAAGTATAAGGACAAAGCCTTTACAATGTTGATATTTTTGGAGTTGAGTAGATTACATAAACTGTGATTATAATGATGGACATTGGATAACCAAGGCAAATAGTGGTTTCTGACAGAAGAATATTTTGAACATATAAACAAAACATGAAATTCATCCTCTAATTGCCTCCCTTTACAGTGGGTATATAGATAAAGACTCAAGTCTTCATTTGTATGTTTTGACTTTCGTAGCATGTTAATCTTAAAACCGTGTAGCGATATTCTGAATTTACAATATGCTCTCTTGAGTGATTTATTCGTGAGATTATTGATGTAAAATTCTGGCTGTAAAAGTGATTTCAAATTTGCATAATATGACAGATATTTTGATGAAGAAAAAGAGTCATGCAACTCTTGTGAATACATATCAATCGAATGTTGAGAGATCCATACAAATGAGAAGCCTGAAGAAAACAAAATATATCTTACATCAGACACCCAGCTGCAGGTGTGTTTATCATTATCATCTAACTGTTTAAGTAGATTGTAACATTGTTTTGGATATCGACATGGGTCCATACGTAGCAATCTCAACCAGTATTTAAGTACCCTTATTTTGCCAAACACGAACATATTTAATCGCCCAGTTTCACCAAGAATAGCTTTATTAGAGGCATATTTTCCGATACAAAGATAATTTTTAAAATAGGACGTATGTACTTTTTCTATAATAACGTAATAACTTTTTCATCCGCTAGCGATGCCATGAATGGCACCTGGCATACTACTGATGCACGCAAATGGGGAGATCAGTGAGCCAGTGAAATATTAAAGCCTGTCAGGGTCCAAATGTTTGAGGGGGTGAAAGGTGCGTTGTCACCTGTAACGGTATCTTGTACACCAACTGTATATATTGAGCACGTGTCCTCCGTCCACAAAGGCCAACTGCCTGTCAAATATATATGGATCGTCACAAGCATAGGTGGGGAGGTGAGGCCACTTTTTGTAAATGCATCATGGATACCACTGCTTCTACTTCTACGTGACTTGATCAGTTTCTTTGCAAAGAATTTCACACAAAACAATCACATTGAAGGTGCTTGACCGACGTTTTTTTTTATGCGCATGGACGAAATGGTTCATTGACGAATTGTTTTATACCGATTTTGTGTCATTGATAAAAATCATGCAGGTATATTTTGTTCAACTGTTATATGCCATGTGTGGTCCGTCTGTAACGTCTTCACGCCTTTATAAAGATTAGTTTGTGTCAACTTACAAACTATTGTTTTTAAAACCAACTCAAGGTATTTTCTGTTTTGAATAACAGTGTAGTGCATTTACCAGTATAAATCGAGTAGAGAGGGCATGAACATATCTGCACACTGGAATTTCTGCAGTATTTCTTACCTGACCACGATTTTCACGCAACTATCTGGAGTTGGAATGTTTTCCCTTGAGACAGTTGTTTCTTTCCTTAGTGTTTGTATCGCTCGACATTTATAAGACAGAATTACTGACGACAGGACGTTGAACATTTCCCTCGAGCAGGAAGTGCGACTTCAAACAACACCTCATAAACAACAATCACATTGAAGACCTTTGTAGAGTACTCGTCAATGAAATAATTAGGTTTGCCGATTATGTTAACGGTCAAGTGTTTATTCATCAAATATTTTTTTTCATTTGTCATTGACAATGATTTACAGGACGTGGGGTGGTGGGAAAGCCAAGTGGTTAAAGCGTTTGCTCGTCACGCCGAGAGTCCTGATTCGATTCCCCACATGGGTACAATGTGTGAAGCCCATTTCTCGATTATGTGCAGAAAAAGATTCCATTAGGCGTAAAAGACCAAATATCTATATAAAAAAATATATGGATCTCTGGAAACCAGTGACGACATCAGGTATCAGAAAGAAACTTCAGTATCGACGAATAATATAAGCATCATAAACCTGTCCATTGCACATACTAAGGATACTAATAGATGAGATTCCAACTCACGAAAAGCGGCATGTATCAGTGAGTCGATGAGCATTTATCAATAGTCAAGCCAGATCACGGTGGGGCACACCCGCAATGGGCTTCCCACAATGTGACCATGTGCGACCCGTGAAGGTCCGGGTTAGAATAGGTCTTCAGCAACCTATGCTTGCCATAAAAGGCGACTATGCTTGTCGTAGGAGGCGACTAACGGGATCGGTCGGTCAGGCTTGCTGACTTCGTTGATGCATGTCACCATATCCCAAAAGCAAACAAACAAACCATGTGCGAAATCGAACCAGGGCCTTCGGCGTGACGATTGAATGCTTTAACCACAAGGCTACCCAGCCCCCCTAAGCGACACAGCCCTGCACATCACATTGTTTTCCTATAAACCACTAGACTCAATTTCTATTGTTGTGTGTCGATTCCCAAATTGAAACAATATGTTAGCAGATAAATCTGAACGTAAAACAATTTAGTGTAAAAACCAACAAATTAACAACAAATGGTATACAATAAACAATTGTTTCACAAAATGAACTAGGTTTTCAAATCAATACAGTTTCCTGCACAGCATTTACAATTTACAATAGCAGTATGCAATAGAGTGGTAGTACAATAATCAATGGCAGTATGACATACAAAACAAATTTTATGATAATAATATTCACCGATCCACAACAGTGATTACGCTTCCGAGGCCAAGGCTGGGAATCCGAGGTGGTAAGTGATCTTCACACAAAAGCTGGTCTTGATGTAATGAGAGATGAAATATGAGATGAAATATGAGATGAGACAGGCACACGCTCTCTCCACTTATGTAGTCTAACTAGCTTCCAGCATTTTCCACACAGTGCTTGACAAGTCCAGTGTCACTAGAACATGACAGTATATCCCAAATGTCTCCCTAACGCTTGACATCCTTCCAAGCTTTTTCGAAAGTTTACAGGTAATTAGAGCATTTAAATATAATTCCTCACCACTGCTTACATGAAATAGTACTACGTTCCTGACAACTAATTATTGTCCCAATACGATGCAATGAGCTTCTGAATCTCAACAGAAACACCCTAATACAGTTACAATCATTGTTCAACAATACATTACACCGCCCATAACACTATTTCCTGGGCGCTTTTCTCAGTACCTAGGCACAGTAATGGAAACAGTTGAGGTGAGATGACATGGGGTTTGACGTCGCGTTCAAGGTTGTTGCACGTATATAGCGACGTGTGTGTGTGCGTGCGTGCGTGCGTGCGTGCGTGCGTGCGTGCGTGCGTGTGTGTGTGTGTGTGTGTGTGTGCTTATGCTTTTTCTAGTCCGGACTAATGCCGATTTGATAGTGCTAGACCACTGAGATACCACGCTGAAGTTTTAACATTGAATACCCCACCCAGACACAGTATACTGGCTCCGAGTCGACCAGACCTTGTTTTAGCCCCTTAATGCCTAGACAGGGTAACAACAAGTACCATATTTTTATGTCTTTTGGTATAACGCGGCCGGGGATCGAACCCCGACCTTTCGCTCTCCGGGCAGGCGCTCTACCACTAGACCACAGACGCGGTGTAATGGAAACAGGACCATTCAGAATACACACTGACAACGACCGTTTTTGTATAAAATTAAGAACCTCAATATTTATTCAAAACAAAACAATACATAAAAGTGTATCATACACGTGAATCATCCGTTATCAGAAATGAAAACACAATAAACTATAGCAGTTTGTGAATGTATCAACGACAGTGGTTCTTTCTGGCATATAATAGCGCGTGACTACAGAAAGGTCGATGACGTACTTCCCATGTTAATATGTAATGCAGGCAAGAATGAAACGTGCAACATGCGTCATACTGTCTGTTCCATTGTCATCCGTCAGGGTCAACCGGAAGTCACTTAGACACAGTAATACATGTATGTATTTTCATTTTGTTTAAATGCTGTCCTTTCTCCGTGACAGCGATGCGACTATGAATCCGCCACAGGCACTGACGTTAATAACGCGAGGACAGACGTCTACCTCGGGGCATGAGGATTATGTTTAACACAGCTGAAGGTGTCGATGCCTCGGGTGTCATCACTAATTTGTCAGTGGTCCATTCACATAATTTGTACAGCTAATTTGCCCTTACGCCAAAGGGATTCTGTTCCTGATAATCAAGCCTGTTTTTTACCCAGCAATGACGCTTTATTGTTACATGTGTTGCGACATGGCGGTTCATGTTCTAAATCGTTCATATACACATCATTAGTGTACAGTTGTTCAGGACAGGGCTTCTCCGCCCTCGTAAACAGATGCTTGGATATGAATCCTATAGCCACACCTCGAAAATGTCAGCATGACAGGGAGTGAGTGTGGTCTTACGCCGCTTTTAGCAATATTCCAGCAATATCACGGCGGGGGACACCAGAAATGAGTTTCACACATTGTATCACGTGGGGAATCGAACCGGGCCTTTGGCATGCTGGGCCCACGAGCCTAACGGACAGCTAGTGTGTAACATAATTTGTCCACTTGCATCGTCCATGAGAACAACTGTCACTTTAGCTACGGTTATACGCTCATCCACTGATTTGATATCAGTTTTCTTCATGTCACTACTGGAAGCTACGGATCGACCTGTTACATCGCTGGTGTGCCAAGAATAAGGAGACTGGTATGTTCATTATTGAAATATTTTATGATTTGCAGCCAATGTGGAACTGAGCTGTAAAACCTACAACGTCATTAGCACGGTTTCCTTAAAGGAAGATCGATATCCCTGCATTGACATAAACCAAAATCGATGGCCGAATGAGCGCGTACCATGCAGCTAGTCTACCAAGTCAACTTAGAGACTTTAAGGACTGTAATTGTCAACCATTGTGTGAAAACGATAGGGAAAACTCAATACATTCGTATTGTTTGAAGAAAAAGCAAAAATGTTAAATGATATTTATTTCATTGTTTACAAATTGCAGCTACATTCATATGCATGCCTTGCTACGTAAAGGGAATATCGACTCCAATCCGTTTCTATCAATAGGCATCCCCTCTGTACCGGATTCCGCAGCGTCGGTAACACTCGTCGAGTGTCTTGAAGTTGTTTCCGTTTCCACCGCATCCGCCGTAGATGAATCTCTCACATCTCCGGGAATAGGAGTTGTAGTAGTACCGGGGCATGTAAGCCTTGCAGTGTCCGCTAACTTTAGGGAGCCTACACACTGTAATAACACAAACATAGAATATAGCACAATAATTGCAATGTACGGTGTCACGTCAAGGACGGAACCATATCGTAAGTATGCACTGGAAAACACGAAAACCAGTTCACGTTAAAAATACCATCAGCTCTTGTAAAGCACTTTCAGGATGTGATTGTATTGTAGCTGGTGAGTGCCTTGTCAACACAAGTGTTAACGTTGAGCGTTTGACAACAGGATTTGAATAAACTTAACATAACAGCGCCATTAATTGCATGCAGCAGTGATATATGACATATGCATGGCTGACACGGAAATGTTAATGTCAGTTATTACTTTGATGAAATCCGAGGAACCCGGCTATGGTACTTACAGGTAAAGGGTTATTATCGCGGAACAGCGGATCCTGGCTCGATTAAGGGGACAAAAAATCTGCAAGATTTGCAGCAACTTTAAACACAGAAAGGTAGAAAGCGACACATTCACGCACCTGATGTATCCGGCACACAGCGGGCATGTCCGTATACCTCAATGCATACGTAGCCATCAGAACATATCTTTGTCTGGAACGTAAGTGATTCTATATACAAAATACATATGGGTACAGGGAAAAATATGAAACTGCTTTAACCCCAAGTACATAAGATGTAACAATTTCATGACGCCCAAAATAGGCTTTCACATAACGGCAAAATGTGATGTCGATGTTTAACAAGTGTACAGCACCTTGCATGTAACCCTCTGCGGGCACCTGCAGTACAGGCTCCCCATCCCGGTCTGGCAGAGATAGTAGCAGTTGAAGAGCTGAGGACGGGTGTCTGGCTTGTATCTTGGCGGAGCTGTAATATGCATTTCTTTAATGTCAAGGAGTGACATAAACAATTCAATAAAAACGAGTGGGACAAATACAAATACCTCTTCTAATAAGTGATTCAGTATGGCTGGGGACACTAGAAATGAGCTTCACACATTGCATTCATGTTGCGAATCGAACCCAGGTCATCGGCGTGAAGAACCATCAATATTTGAGTGCTGCTTCGAGACATTTTTCCTTACCGCAAGGGTTATATCTTATCATGGATATCAATTGGTTCTTTACAAGTGTGAAAAACAAAAAAAAGAACATTCAGTCTGGTCTCCTAGGAAATGAACGTAGAACTTAGCAAAAATGTAAAATATAAATGTTTCCGAAATAATGGTATGCGCATGAGGAAATATTTTCATTACAATTTGGTAAGTACTTACCAAACTTACTTAAAGAATAACAACTTAGTAATATGTATTTTCAAATGATAGCATGTGGCACCTCATAATTGTTGTGTAAGGGTTAGCGTCTTGCCGCGTCATGAGTGAGTGAGTGAGTGAGTTGGTTTAAACGCCGCTTTTAACAGTATTCCAGTTATATCACGGCGTGTCAGCTTCATGTGGGAGGAGTGGCGGTCGGGTAACCTAGTGGTTAAAGCGTTCGCTCGTCACGCCGAAACCCGGGTTCGATTCCCGACATGGGTACAATGTGTGAAGCCCATTCCTGGTGTCCCCCGCCGTGATATTGCTGGAATATTGCTAAAAGCGGCGTAAAATCATACTCACTCACTCACTCACTCATGTGGGAGGAAAGCCCGAAGTAATGCAGGTCTTAGACGTTTACCACTTCGGTGAAACCCACGAGAACGGGTATGGTGCTGACAAACCTAGAAACATAATCGGGGCGAGCCGGGACTCGAACCCACAATCATAGGTTTCTGGCGTGTCCAAGGAACGCAACTCTGCACAGCGAATTGCTTGCCGCATCATGATATCAGTTTATGTGGATCACGTGGACCGCATTGTTTAAAAAGATCATAGAACAGGGAAGACAACAAGCACGCCAAGCATTCCTTACCAAACCCAGAGCACTGGTGGGAGATTAAGAATAAATTGTTTCCTCGATATAGGATGGCATTTTGATAAATATTGACGCCAATCATGACAGTTCAGTGATTGACATCACATAATTGATATAGTTTAAGACAAACATGGAAGCTTTGTCAGGGGCTGGACCTGGTTCACGGATTGGTGGCACAGTATCCCCATCTTCTATACTACTTAAGGAGTTTAATCTGGCATGTCCAGAGAACATTTATGTAATTTTTTTTATAAATCTTTCATAAATTTGTTCCAATGTGCCTTGGAATGCCAAAGAACCTCAATCGCTCGAAACCTTACGACTCTATTTGAACTTGTCCAGCTATAAGGTCATCGATATCGTTTGTAAATGTCAAATTCATTATAGAGTTGACCACTTAAAAGCATAAAGATCAAAGAAAAAGGTTGTCATTCAGATGAAGTCAATAGAATACATTCGACAGCTTTAACCTTCGGGGTAATAGAGGTTCTCAAAAAATGGCACATGTATCCGACTTCGCAAATGATGACGAACAAACAAACGTTTGATATTTGACTTGCTTTATAAATTTGCCTTATATTGTTTGGACTCACGCGGCAGATATATGACATCTTTAACAGGTAACTTCCTTTCGCCATATCAAAGACATTTGCTCAAAAGGCCAAAGTAGCTAGGGTATGACGCTCGACATCATAATAAGGCCACAATATGTTTTTACGTTTTTTGTCATCTCAACCTCTACCAGCAAAAGAGCTGGTGAGCGAAATAACATTTAAAAAACTAAAAAGGTGAGAAAGACCAGCTGTTTTTTACTAATTGTGTAATTTATCCATGACAATTTAAGTCTTAAAACACTTGCTACCAGTATTCAAATCAATTTATGACGTCGATCGAATCGCTTTGCTTTAGAAAGGAATTCTTAATACATATTGCTACAGAAAGATTAATCTGACCTGGGCTTTTTTTATATGAGTGTGCTATGTAAGTTGAATTTTTTTTCATCACATCCGGGCACAAATTTCCAAAGCCGCGGGGAAAATTCAGATAGGAAAACGTTTTGATATTTCACGTCGGAATATAAATTCAGGGCTGGCGAGAGAAGGAAAACTCCGAAATATGCAGCCTCATGTGTCTGACAAGTAACGTGTACCATAATCTCTGTGAATATTTGCTTATACACACTGACATACAGATTACAGTTGACAGTTCTAACATGCCTGCGCCTCGACTAGTATGAATAATATGTGCCATGTTACGTACATGCACTTAGGTAGTATCAAAGTGATAAAGGCGAGGCTATTGTGTGCAGTCTGTACCTGGTTTCCCTTTTGTGACCGGTGCCGTTGTGGTTCCTTCCTTCTTGTCATCACCCGTCACGCACACTACTGCGCATGTCAGAATTATCACGAATATAAACGGTTGGATATTCATTCTGCCGGATTCTGAAAGGAAACAAATTGAGTCGAATTCCGATCAATATACGAAGTTTCAGATCTACATTTTATGATCAGATAAACTTGAATTCGGTTTATTTTGGCAAATACCATTAAACCATTTGGTTAAAAAGCGACAAACCCCTTTCCATATTTATAACAAATCTCTGCCAAAAGCAGAGGCGATTGTACGATTCCGACATATCAGCTGCAGCATGTGTCCATGAATCACCAATAAAATGTGTTCGCGAAGAGGCGAGCGTATCCTGCTCCACGGGTGACACCCATCACAAACACATGCAAAGTCAAGTCAACTGTCAATTGTTCATCTGACAAATTACGGATCATCAGTTGTTATTCAAAATGTACTGTCGGTTTAAAGAGACATTCGTCAAACAATAACCAAGCAATCGCCATTTTAATATATTCGCATATAACACTACATCAAACTTAACATATTTGTATAGTTTTTGAGTTCCGGAAAAGAAAAGCTAATAACTTACCAGCTTGGTATGTACATACATATATCTACACGAGAACTTTTCAACTTGCCTACCGACTCCGTGGTCTAGTGGTAGAGCATCCGCCCGGAGCTACCATAAAGACGCTAAAATATGATTAGTGTTGTAACCCTGTCTGGCGCTCGGCATTAAGGGGCTAAAACAAGGACTGGTCGGCTCGGTGTCAGTATAGTGTGTATGAGTGGGATATTCATGTAAAACTGTGGCATGGTACCTCAGTGTGCTAACACTATAAATCGGCATCGGTCCGGACTTAGTACAAGCAGCCACACACACACACACACACACACACACACACACACACACACACACACACACACACACACACACGTGGATGCACGTCGCTATTTAAGTTAAACCCCATTTCACCTCACCTCACCTTGCACCTACTGTTCGCCAACGTTACGCGCACCATACTAGTCTCTTAACCGTAGGAAGGAAGAATGTATGGTTTCTCAGAACGTGTCACAGGGGCCGACGAATGGCGATTGAGTGGTCATTGTTGGTCATCATTTCCTGAGTGCGTGGTTCGTTGCTGAAGCTCTTAACTACTATTTGTCATAGGGCATTATTTAAAGGGCAGAGTTGACTCACTTGAATATTAATGAATGCGGCACAAAAGGACATGCTTCCACCTGTATAACAATGTAAACCTGTTATCTCTTGTACAAGTAAAACAATACTTACACGACCTGATCCAGCACAACCAAGATACCGTTTGGGAACAGGATAAGCATATCCGCTATCTTATAGGTCCTGAAATCCGGGTTTAGTGAGTGAGTCAGCATTAAAAGCGCTCTGTAATGGATTTGCATGTTCCGTATTAACTGAATTACAAGTACTTTCCTTTGCTTCTGGCTATGATGTAAACATTAATAAATAATAAGGGGCGTTCACATGTTATTTAATGCTTTAATATTATGTATTTGCGTAGGATCACAAATATAAAATTCTTCAAATTATACACACGGTGTAACTGTTGAAGGTCACCTATATAATATGGGACTGAAACTAAAAACAATTGACAATAATAAAAATACACTCAGACATTATGTCTGAAAGTGTGCTGTGTCCTCCGCTGTGATATTGCTGGAATGCTGGTAAAAGCGGAGTAAAACCATACGCTCTTTCTCAATCCAAATTCAATACAAAAGCGATACAGTCAATAGGGGTTATATCAAACGTCAAAGTGTCGATTATCTGTCAAAAATATTCCATTGGGCGTGAAAGGCAACATGGTTGTGACAACTGTATGAATGGATCGTTGAAAATAAGTGATGACACCAGGTGTTCGCGAAAATTGTAAGCATAGAGTCTAGTGATTTGAGCATATCAAAGAGTATCTTGTTCACACAACCCCTTGTCGCACTTTATGCATTGTAGAGTCAGGGTATTGTGTAACCGTCCTTGAATTTAATCCCTTTGGTCCATAATGGCCTCATACTCATAGACTAAAGTCAGGAGTGCAAGCATGCCAATTCATCCTGTGTATCCTTTGTTATCGAATGAAAAAAACATTTACCATATTTTCACAGTATGGGTTAGCATTGTCTATAGCTAATATCATCTCTGTAGCATTGTGGGTTGAGATTCTACCGAAGAAATGCCTCCGCAAATCATTATGGAACCACCAACAGAATGATTATGCACGACTACATCTGCAGCCTCAGAACGTTCATAACGCCGTCTGTAAAGACGACCACGGCAATCATATAGAAGGAGGGCTGACCATCAAATGAGCTTGCTGGACGTTAACACGGAGAACATCAGATGGTTATCCACTACTACATAGTATTACCAAATTTCATTACATATGGATGAATGTATGAATAATGACCAAAAATAGATTAAAGATTTTAAACTCGGATTTAAGTCTCATCATTGGTGTTAAAAAATATGTGAAATTTCAGCTTCATTGGTGTAGTGATGTTTATAAGACGAAACCATGGACGACGACAGAAGCCAGGTCGTGACATGAACTCAGTTTTCAGTCAGGTGAGCTAAGATATATATGGGTTTGTGGTTCACATCCGAAAACTTGTCTTTTCAAAACAATCTTTTAAAGTAACGTATATAGTGATTTAGCGTCATTTATTATGGCTGTGAAAATTGCTTCTGTACCTTTACCCGATCCTAAGAACCATTGGCCGTGCGTACGATAATTTGATTAGGGTGTGCCATTAAAAAGCCATTCATCGTAAACGTCTTTGACTGTATTCCCTCCATCGGTAAACTGACACGCCGTGATATATATGAGATACTGTTGAAAGCCGATCATTGTTTTGTGACAAGGTGACCATTTATCGTCAATCTATTGATGGAATGAAGAGCAAGGTAAATGTATAGTTTAGTTGGGGAACTAAACGTATCTCGTTTGTATTGTGACACGGAGAGAACTATAAAAAAATGTTGACCGCGCCATCAAAATTTCACTTTATGTAGTGCCCTCATGTAAATGTGTTTTTCTTCAGCGAAAATATGGATGAGTGAATATTGCTTTACGCAGCCGCTTTTGGCAATATTCTGACAATATCATGGCGGGGACACCAGAAATGGGTTTCTCAGAGTGTACTCATGAGGGGAGTGGGATTTGGGCCTTTGGTGTGACAAACAAATGCACTTACCATTTGACTAGTTTGTATAACGAACCACTCCCGGCTACAATGAGGCCCAGACCTTGGACAAACATGAGATTAAGGCTTTGATCATCTTCCCAAGCAGGAAAAACGGCGTTAAACCCAACTCACTCACTCACTCTTAAGCAGGATTTTGATATTGGCACTTTTACCATTCGTCTGAATTGATGATTAAATGTTGTGTAAGTTTTATGCACCTTTTCTCTTTGTCACGAATTAGTGCGTATGTAAAAGGTCCGATTGTGGGGCAATTAGCAATAGCTTTAACCTGGGCTTAACACTCAACCCCTTAGGATTTGCGGGCCACAGACATGTATGAAGTAAGTGTATGATCCATCATGTCTAATTTTTTAAGACTATATCCTGGTAGTGACGTAAACTCTAACTTATCGGACATTAAGCAGAAAACCCGGTTCTCAAGCATACGAACAACACTTGAGTTTTGTCAACAGGGCCGAAATGTCGACACTCAAGACATTGCATGCAGTGCCGAAATGTAGACACTCACCACATTGCATGCAGAGCCGAAATGTCGACACTAGCCACATTGCATGCGGTGCCGTTCACCAAGTAAACTAAAACAATTGAACACATCACACAACTCCAACACTCCAATGCTTCAAGACAAATCCAGTATGTCGTCGCTCATTCAAAACTGGTCAAATAATGGTAGCTGAAATTTATTTACCACATCTTATGAAATCACATTTTATCATAGTTAACATCAATGCCAACAATAACGTAACGTCATTCGAAGTGTTTAATTTCTTTCCTCAATTATCCATCTGTCTAATGAAACTTCCTTGTCGCTATATCGTCATTAACAGCTTCACAAAGTGGGATGAATTAATTTCAGAAGTTCATTTCTGTGTGATGTGAAGTCAGTATAGCTTTCACACAACGCCCCTTCTCCTGCACGTAGCAACACAGTCCCCACGGGTTTTGAAGTTGTTGCCGTTTCCTTGACAACCACCGTAGTAGAACTGCTGGCATCGACGGGTGGCTTGGTTGTAGAAATATCGCGGCATGAGAGCTCTGCATGGTCCAAGTTCCCTTGTCAACTGGCACACTGTGTAAACGGGATAGGGGTTATCATATTTCAGATGACAAACAGCTTAAACGTCAAGATGCTTTTATGTAATTAGAATCATGACATAAGTGTTTCTAGATGCTGAGTTGCTCGTAGGGTTAGATTCTTGTAAAAAAAAGTCGTTGCTGTTGTTTTCTGTTCGTATGTTTTCTGTATCGTCCTCAAATTACACATCTGAGATGAATTGTGTTTGATAAACAGAAAGACGCGAAAGTATAACTGTCCCCTTACCTTCGCGATCAGCAACACAGACTGGATTTCCCTCATTCATTTTACACCGCTGACCTGCTTGGCATACTTTAGTCTGAAAATGTGTAATTGTTTTAAGATACGCATACATGTACGTTTCCGCGCACATACTTTATTGTTTTCGATTCCTTCTATACTGACATACTGACGACATTCTAGACACTCAAAACAAAAGCACTAATGTGCAGGCCGAGATAGACATGTAAGCGTACAAGTGGTAATATGAAATTATCTGACTGCAACGCATTTCATGGGTTTTTGTTGACCCGATCGCTAAATATCGTTGCCACCTGAGATGTGCTAGAATTCTATGATCGTGGGTTCCAATACCAGGTTTTCCCATATTATGGTTCTTGGTTTATAGCGTCATCCCTGTGCTCATGGGCTTCATTAAAGTGGTAAGCGTATAATACGTTCATTACGTCGGGATTTTCTCCCTCTACTATAACTTTTGTTTGTTTGTTGTTTAACGCCGCACTCAGCAATATTCCAGCTATATGACAGCGGTCTGTAAATAATCGAGTCTGTACCAGACATTCCAGTGATTGATATCATGAGTATCGATCTACGGAATTGGGAAACGATGACATGCATCAACCTAGTCAGCGAGCCTGACCACCCGGTCCCGTTAGTCGCCTCGTAGCCTCGTATGACAAGCATAGTCGCCTCTTACGGCAAGCCTGGGTTGCTGAATACCTATTCTAACCCGGATCTTCACCGGTCCGTAATATAACTTGTCATACAGCCAACCATTCTTATCAGTTGTATCACCAACACCCTTTGAGCCTAATCCATCCATCTAGCCACGTGGCACTACATGTACACTTTTGTTTAAGCAATTTCCTTAAAATGACGATACGTATCCATGTACTAGTCTTGTACCAAACATGTTGTGACTTCCGCTTTCCTCTCTTTGAAATATTCAATATCATGAAATAAGATCGATCAATTACATCTTACCTTACACCTGGAACAATCACAGCGGGTGTCCGTCATACCTCGCCGACAGATGAAGAAACAGCGAATTGTTCTCATGTAGCCCAGGACGTAAGGCCCTATAAAGTATCAAGTACATGTACGTCTGGACGCCATCTGTGATGAAAATGGTCATCTACTTACAACATATTAATATTTAACGGTGGTTGGCTTCGCTGATGAAAAAATAGACATTTACGTCTCTGAAGACAGTTGCACCCCTGTTGCATGAAGGCTAGTTATTCTTAGATGTCGGCCTGCCGACATGTACATGTGGCGTTCTGTCCATTATCACTACTGTACTCCCACCGTGTGCTTTTAGGACGAGCGAAACATGGCTCCGTCTAGAAAGAAACATTTAGCATCGCCATCACAACGTATGAGTGAGTGTGGTAGTGTGCGACTTTAGAAATAGCTCGGCCATAGCACACCCAGAGTGCACAATTGTTGGGTATTCAAACCACTGATTTGAAGGTTTCAGATATTAGATGATTGTTATTCGAACCGTTATGCAAAATGCGGTCCTCAAGAACGAGTGTTGATATATTGGGATCACAAAACCCTTGACCGCCCTTGTGATAACTACATACATCCAGGATAACTACTTCTAAACATGCTAAATATTACCAGCTAACTTGTATCCTCACCTTCAGCTGAAGCCATGGAAGTTGCCGTTCTCTGGGACGTGGTTTCATTAGTGTCAGCCACACCATGGCCATGCGGTATAGCACAGGTCATGATCAAGGCCACGACAAGCATCATCGTACTCATCCTCACCTACAGGAAGAAGTAACATTTAAAGTTTGTGTAATGGATACTGGAAGTCTTTGAAATGGTGAAATAAATACATGCAACTTTAGGGAATATGACTTCTGTATAAATACCACTTTAACATGTTTCATTGCTGCATCTGTCCTTGCAATTCATTTATATTCACCTTGTTCAACTGTAAGAAATGTCGTTCACAAATATTATTTATTGCATATTTATATCATCTGAAATGTAAGAAGAATTCTCTACGTAGAACATTCTACATGTACATGTACATACCTGGAAACGTGAATAAGCTACTTCAGTGGATATGGAAACGTAGACAGTTGCACTCCCCCTGTTCTGTCCGACTTGTCTGGCTTTGTAAACAATCTCGTAACTTTATTTCCCTAATACTTACATGAAACGTATGAAGGCACATAGTCACATGGCAAATTCACTTTTACATTAGTGTCATATGTTGTCTGTTTTTACAGCATACAAATTCCAGCATGAATCATACAAAGATGTCGGCTTTGCAAAATGGACATTTATCACCGAAAGACTAAATCCCACGTCAGTACACAACTGGCCATAAAACTACACAGCTTAAACCGTAAATTCCCATCTGAACCCCACGAGCTTGACCCAAAATGCCAAAATTAGGGACAGAATATTTCATATTCTGGGTGTTTGGGGGATGGTGGGATCTGACCTTGATTCAAAAGTTCCATGAAAGTTTGGGAAGTGGTAATTTCAAAACTGAAACACTAAACCCTACCGTAAACAGTATTCGAATTTAATAAACAGTATTTGATTTTTTTTAAAAAGGTTGAGCAAGTCGAGCAAGGTTCTTGAAGTCACTGAGCCTGAATATCCGATCCATTACGACCAGCATCAATTTCTGGTGACCATTTCTAACCCAAAATCCATACGGGATACATGTAGGTGTAAAGGGGAGAGGAATAGGTGCTTACGTAGTTCAATTGATAACGTTTTGTCTATATAACGCAATTATACTCAAGACTGTAACTAAACAGTCTTTCAAACGAAAGCATTAACTTGGAAATTCAATTTGACCAAACATTTTTACAAACAGCCGCTGAAACACTACAAACTCAGTCCAAAAACACAACTTTTATACCCGTATAAAATACTTCACCGTCGAGTAAGCATTTCTTGTTTGGTTGATTTTTAGCCACCATCAAACATGAATGTATACTCTCTTTTAACCCGTAGGTTAGTTCTCAATCTGACAGCACATAACAGCTGCATATTCTCAACATTGTGTGAATCCGGTTTGGAATGCAGTGTCGATAGTAGACAGCAACTTTAAACCTATAAATATATGGCCTTCATGTCATAAAATGGCCCTTGGCTACGTCAACTTTTTTTAAAAACGGTTGCAGGTGTCTTTCCTGAGGGTGTGGGCCAGTGGAAGAGGTCGAAATCGTAAATGCAGAGCATGGCTCGCATAGAAACCTCATTTAAATGTATTCCATACTAAGTTTTTAATTCATGTCCAATGGCGTTTTATCACATACATTCAAATAATTAGGAAATGTTTCACCACATACTGTCAGACATGCAGGTTGGGGCCACGGATTGCCAGGTCGTCTATGACGCTGCGATTAATTTGCAGAGTTGCGTCCCTTAGACATGCCAGCATCCTATGATCGTGGGTGGGAATCCTCCATTTGAAAACATCATACGTTGTTCGTGAGCGTCATACGACTCTTGTTCAGAAGTTGTTTGATCAAGGTCACAACATTCAAGGCCTCAGTAAAGCTTTCAAAAAGTTTTACGGTAGACATGTGGAGGACATTTCCAAATTTGACGCATACGTGACAACCGTGATGTCCGATGCAATTCACTATTTTGACTTGTACCATACGTTCCCCTGTTTTTTCAGTTGAACAATTGACTTCCCTTTGCATGTGTTTGTGACGGGTGCCACCGCCGGGGCAGGATACGCTCACACTTCTGCGAACATCTGGTATCATCACTATTTCATAGTGATTCAGAAACACATGCTTATGATATACTAGCAGTCGACTGTAGTCTCAACAGGACCGCCTTCTTGGTCTAGTGGTAGAGCGTCCGACCGGCCGCGTCATACCAAAAGACGTTGAAAGGTGGTACTTGTTGTTACCCTGCCTTGCGCTCGGCATTAAGATGCTAAAACAAGGACTGGTCGGCTCGGAATCAGTATATACTATGTCTGAGTGGGATATTCATGTTAAACTTCGGCATGGTATCTCAGTAGGGTCGCACTATAAATCGGCATCATTCCGGACTAGTACAAGCAGCCCCAACACACATACACAGACACACACATACACAGACACACACAGACACACACACACACACACACACACACACACACACACACACACACACACACACACACACACACACACACACACGTCGCTTTATAAGTGCAATAATCTTGGAGGCGACGTTAAACCCCATTTCACCCAAAGTGGTAAACATCTGAGACATCAATACTTCGGGATTGCCTCCCTCATTTAGCTGACACGTTTGATTTCTCACTGCCACCATTCCCGTGCTTCCTGTTTTTTTCCGTCGTCTCTTTGTGTTCTACTATCAACCTTATTTGACATTCCACGCTCATTCGCTTGACCGTAAGGCGAACAGAACAACTACACATTGACTGGCTGCTTCATGTAACGCCCCCCCCCCCCTAGATTTTTGCCTTCATGCTACCAACGTGTGCTATGTTCATATGCTTCCTGTAACAGCATCAGTGACAAAAATGTTGTCTGATGCTATTCCCTATATTAACTTGTACCATACGTTCCGGGGTTTTTTCAGGTGAACAATTGAAGTCTTGCATTTGCTTCAGTTTATGACGGTACCCCCGGTGGGGCAGGATACGCTCACCGTGTCGCGACCACCTGGTATCATCACCTATTGATGGTGATTCATGGACGCTTGCTCTTTATATGGTTGGAATTGTGCAATTTTGGCCGACATTTCTTAAGAAAACGAAGTGTTTGTTTGTTCTTCAGCGCATATATTTCTAATATATAATGGTGGTCTGTAAATAATATAATATGGATAAGAGAATCCAGAGCATCGATCCACGCAGTTTGGGTACATGCAATCATCCAAGTCACAGAGTCTGACTGCCCGATCAATTAGGCGATTTATATGACAATCACGGGATGTGAGGGACCGATATTCCTACCCGGAATGAGAAGAATGTAATCCACGTGTCAAACAGAAGAACTTTTTTTGACATAATAATGATATATTTTAGTGCTGCCTCGTGGGGACACGGGGTAGAATGTGTCCCCAGTACCTTACTGCTTGTCGTAAAAGGCGGCAAACTGGTTGCCCAAGTTTTCCTCCTAAAAATCACAGTTGGCGCTCCCAGGCCGACATCGTTTTGTACACTATTTTCAAGTGTCTCTGCCAACACATAGTTTGGACGTCAGGCCTCCGAACAGTGACAATATTCATTAACGTTGTCCTGTTTTTCCATTTCAAACATATGACGCGTATGTACCTTCGCTGACGAACTGGAAGAGGACATAAATGTTCAACAGTAAGACGTTTCAAACTGCCCCAGCCATCACTCAACCCAGGTGACACGGCACAAATGACAGAAATGTCGGCGTTCGTATAAGTGGGAAAGATTTCATATTCACTTTTTTCCTTGTAAATAAGAGGGAGGAAGGGTTTTTTGGGCTTGAGATCAGCGTTTGTTTCAATGTAAATGACCATTGGCCTGTGCCTGACAGATCGATTCAAGGATTAATATCTTGGCGAATCTATGATTTGAATTCACAATCAGCGGATCATGGCACGGCGAAGGGATGCAACTTTGAGAGCGGATTATTGCGCTTTATACCACAAGGCTTCATGGAGAAATGTAGTTATATAATTTTATGAGAATATTAGTTTTGTTTGTTAGTTTATTTGTTTGTTTCACGCAATATTCCAGCAATGTGAGGGCAGTCTGTAAATAATCGAGTCTGGACAAGACTATACAGTGACATCATGAACATCGATCTGCGCATTTGGGATATGATGACATGCATCAACCAAGTCACCGAGCTTGACCACCCGATCCAGTTATGTTAGCCACCTCTTACGACCAGCATGGATTGTTAAAGACCAATTGAAAACCGGATCTTTAATGGTGAAAATATTGTGATCAAAACAATGAATCTCATAATAAATAATATATCTGTCCAACCTATAGCATATTTCACAAAATACTGAAAAAACAAGATATTTATATCCTTTGGCCTCATGGAAAGCTCGTAAACATTAACGTACGTAGAGGTGTTGGTGCTCAAAACACAAGATCATAATCTACGATTCATACATATTCAATAAGCACATCGTATTGATCACGAGGCATTTAAAAAAAGACAAAACTATTCAAAATTAACACATTTTATTGTAAAACGATTGATAGACAATATTCAAGACTATACTGAAGTTATTTTACAACTCAGAAAACAGGATATGTATATCCTTTGGCCTCAGGTGTTGGTGCTCAAAACACAAGATCAGGATCTGATCAAATCTACGATTCGAACATATTCAGTAAGAACATACACAGCCTTTTGGTCACGAGGAGTTTAAAAAAAGAAAAAAACTATTCAAAATTAACACATTTTATTGCCAAACGACTTATGGACAATATTCAAGACAATACTAAAAAAAATTATGGCAATGATGCATAACGTGGGAACAACTTTATGTGGATACTACAATGCTGCTCTTATCTACATGGAATTCAAGTAAAGCATGGATTTACTACAGTTACAATGTTAAGGTCTGTTAAAGAAGGCGCCTCTCTTCCTACAGGTTCTCATACACGCCCTCTTGTTCCGGAAGTTGTTTCCGTTTCCTCCGCAGCCGCCATAGTGGAACTCCTCGCACCTTCTGGTGGCTTTGTTGTAGTAGAAACGGTGCACCAGCTCTGAACATGTCCCTGCGTCCTTGCTCAGCTCACAAACTACACGTGGATAAATAGAGGAAATTTCTTGTGTCGATTGAAATATCATGTTTCTCTCATCGAGTGATGTGGGAAAGGAGATACTCTCCTTTCCCCCGTTACAAGATGAGAGAAACATAATATTTGACGAGACCATAGAATAGCCTATATGTTATATACTTATTGTGTAGTTGTCTACCGGATTGTTTTTGTCATTGCAAATGTAAGACCCTGAAACGTGCAAATCTACCCCATCTAACACGCAGCGACGTTTCACCACGCCTTGTAATTGTGACTTCAAAAGTAATTCCGAGTTTGCATTATTTATCGTACATTTGGATATGATAAAATACAAAATCAACTTCAACTAAAAATGTTATTGAAACCTACGAGAAAGTTGTTGGAACCGAAGGAATACACGCAAGCCGAGTGTTATCAAGTGTTATGTTCACTGCAATACTACAAATATCATTTTTCTCAAATTTAGAAAACTCTTCCACACTAGAGTATACAATGAAACCAGACACGTGGTCATTCAAACACTTGTTATTGCAATACCTTTAATTTGTGAAGAGTGATTGGATGAGCATGATTGTACGCCGCTTTCGGCAATATCCCAACAATTGCACTGCGCATAACAGCAGAAGAATTTCAAACATTTCTTTCATGCAGAGAACTCAACCAAGGTGATTGAAATGTTTGTTTGTTGTTTAACGCCGCACTCAGCAATATTACAGCTATATAACGGCGATCTTAAAGTAATCGCGACCAGACAATCAAGTAATTGACATCATGAGCATGGATCAACGCAATTGGGATGCGATGACATGCATCAACAAAGTCAACGAGCCTGCCCAACCGAACCCGTTGGTCGCATGAGTTACTGAAGACCAATTCTAACTCGGATCGTCAAAGGGAATGGAATGACAAGCACGTACAAACAATGACAATACCAGCATGTAACAAACCCTACAAATCCTGCAAAATATATGTAACACAACAACGGTACGTTATGCCTTATGGTTAGGAAATTGTGCTTCGTACAGTTTTGAGATCAGATAAATGAAGTTTGAAAATTTAATCAATCTATCAATCCGGATAAAACCGGTCCAAGCTCTGGAATCATAGGTATAGAAAAAATATTCTTTTTAGAAATAAAGGCGAGGTGTCCTGGCACATGATCAGGTTTTTTGCGGTGTTCAATGAGTTAGGGCAGGAGATGCTCACCCTCTTCGCCAACACCTGGTGTCATCACTGATTTCCAGTGGTCCATTCATATATATTTTCACAGCTATTTTGCCCTTTACGCCAAATGGAACCTGTTTCGCAGGATAATCTAGAGTGGATATTCTCTTGCATTGGCAATATTTATATTTCATTTAAATGGTTTTTAACGTCTCTATTGCATGGCAGGACCCCGTGTTGCATTAAGATTTTAATAAGACGACAGTAACAGTGTAGATTTGTAAAAGTATGTGATGAGTAATACTATCGTTACACTACGATCATTTGGAGACACTGTGCGACTTACCTGCCTGATCTCTAACACAGCGGGGGAATCGGCCAAACAACACCTTACACACCTTGTCATCTGTACATTTCAATTGCTGAAACACATTATGGGTTACACATTAAACGATAGGAAACCATTGCCTGAACGGACTCTGTGGTTCTAATTGATAACTGTCCCCGTCAAAATATAAGAAACCCTCAATAGGAGTCACGTTAGGTGAGGTGGTGAATAATTGACTTGCATATGCACGTGTTTGTGACGGGTGCCCTCTTTATGTAGCGAACACATGGTATGTTGATTCATAAACACATCAGTATACTGTAGTCGGAATCGCAGAGCAGCAGATATTTTGCATGGTTATGAAAAGGGTTTTGATGCTTTTAATAATTCCAAAACAATTTCGTTCGTTGACCTGGATTCTGAAATTTCAGACATTTCAGTCGAAACAAAAGCCAACCCACAGAAGAACAAATATGCCCGCTCTATAGTACTTCCTTCTGATTAGATGCCATTGAAGTAGTGCCCACAAAGTACAGCCTCTTTTATTAGTCTCCATTCGGAACTGCCGTTTAAATTTTCGAAATACAGAATACCGATAAGTTGTTCTGGATGCTTCGCTGGAAACGAGAATTCAAAATTTACCAAGTCAGCTGGCTGATTAGAACGTTCACCTGGCGTGACCTCCTGCAGATGGGTTGTCATATTAAAACTATTGCACTTAGCGTCGTGTTGTATGACGCAACTGGGCATCGAACCATCGATTTCCGCTTATGGAACCAAAAAAGACTTGGCATTAGTGTTACGTGCGGTATGAACGGCAGGGGTTCCCGCTAATACCACAAATAACAATAACAATTAACAATCATAACATTAGATCGACCTCATTCAGTACAATACTTCATTCCAACAAAACAAACCCAGAGGACATCGTCAGTATTTGTGTCCCACCTTGCAAATGATTAAAAATGAAGTAAATAGAACGGCATTCAGAGTAAGTGTGTCACCTTGATTCTAAATTACATTTCAATTTGCAAAAGAGAGAAGCTACCATTCTACTCACAGCACAGGTATATTCTGGTCGACGTGGACACGTACAGTCAGACGGGGCGTTGCCAAACCGACACCCCATCAGGCATCGGAAGGGTCGGAATACACGGTCAAAACCACGAAATGGGCGGGGAACTGCCAAAAGCCAATGGTTCTGAAGTCATTACTTATATACAGAAAGAACACATCACTACAAATGATCAAGTCGAATGTTCGAAAACAATTAATACCTCCTGGCACAATATAAAAAAGCAAATCAGTCGATTTCATCCGTAGTACAGGCCAACAAACAATATTACCAGACATATTACATATTTTTAATTGTATAGGAGAAACAACGTTTGTAGGAGCTACTTCGCCGATGAAGGAGCAAGAAGTAGCTCTGAAACGTCGTACAAAGAAGAAAGGAAGTTGCTATCAATAAAAATGTGTCATATATTCATGTTCTTCCAACTTCTAAATGCCTATAAAAGTCTACATTTACTGTTATCTACCTTGCCAGTCCATGATCGGAATTGGGGTGGGCGTGTCCACAGAAGATGGCATTGTCGTCATTGATGCATCGTCGGCAGACACCAGAGCAACGCTGACACACGTAAGAATGGTAAACGGTACTGCACCGTGTGATGTCATAGTGAATCTGAAAACAATTAAACATTAGCAGATTAAATAGTCTTAAAATGTGTTGGATCGTTATGGGCCAATTGTGTTGAGGTGGGGTGAAATGGGGGTTTAATGTCGCGTTCAAAATTATTGCACTTATTGTGAGGTGCATGCACGCGAGTGTGTGACTGCTTGTACTAGTCCGGAATAAATGCCGATTTTATAGTTCTAGCCCACTGAGATACCATGCCGCAGGTTTAACATGATTACCCCACTCAGACAGGTTACTGACTCCGAGCTGGCCAGTCCTTGTTTTAGCCCCTTAATGCCGAGCGCCAGGCAGGGTAATAACAAGTGCCATCTTTCAACGGCTTTTGGTACATATGTATGTACCTGTAAGAACAACAAAAGTAATAAGATAACGAAGGTGGAAACTTAACAAGGGACGGCAATAGTTAATTGACGCTAACAGGTGATTAGTAATCGATAAGTGGTATCCAACACTTTACAGTTCTCTGCTTCATAGCATTTATTCACCCCATGAAGGAGTAAGTATAAACTCACAAACGTTTTGTTCCTCATAATAAAGAGGTTGGCATCAATTAATTCTCTTCCTTATAAAAAGTAAGGAATAATGTTTGTTCCTTGTATGTATTAATCATAACTCGTGCGACATTGACTTTAGAAGTAATAAATGCACAAAGAATGACAATTGTTATACTTACATCAGAACAGTGGTGTAAACGAATATTATATTCTTGTGTGGTGACGTTTCCTGATGACTCTTATTATATAGACACACGTGTAACGTCATTCCTGACCTAGTTCTCATTTATCATACACAATATGTCATATTTTATCTCTTTCACGCCATGCAGAACCTGCTTGTGACGTCAAAAAAGACAGGATAAACAAACCGCGGTATAATTGCCCCTGATCGTGTATTGTTTATTCCGGCTGCATCACGCTCAAGATGCATATTTTATGCATGTGAAATATTATGACCATCGCCAGGAGCATGTCGTGGTTTGCTGGTTGATCAACAAGTGGTTTGAATGTCATGTATTGCGCAGTATACATCATTTTATGGAAACAGAAACACCTGTATCGTGATACGTAAATATGATCTTTTTGTGTTTGTGAATCTCGCCATAAACAAGAGATCCGTGTTTTATACTGTTGGAGAATATATGCAACGTTACTATATCATTATTCTTGTATATGACTTGTAAGAACAGAGGCACATACATTTGGTATTTAAAGCTAGGTGGGGAGAAATAAGGTTACACGTCGCGTTCAGTATCGTTGCAATTTCATCGCGACATGTGGATGAGTGTGGGTGTGTGAGTGTGTGAGTGAGTGTGTGTGTGAGTGAGTGTGTGTGTGAGTGAGTGTGTGTGTGGGTGGGGGTGGGGGGGTGGGGGGGTGGGGGGTGGGGGGGGGTGTGAGTGTGAGTGTGTGGGATACCATGCCGTAGTTGAACATAAATACACAGCATACTCGGACTTGGAGTCGAGCAGTCCTTGTTTTAGCCCCTTAATGCAGAGCGAAAGGCAGGGTAACAACAAGTACCTTCGTTTAACGTATTTCGGTATTACGCGGTCGGGGATCGAATCCTTGACCTTCCGCTCTCCGGGCAGACGCTCCACTAGACCACGGAGGCGGTCTTTATAATGCCAAGCTAACACACACCATGTGTATGGTTTTAGTATATGACAGTTAATAAGTAACATAATGATAAAAATAATAATTAACATAAACCACGGTAGTTATAATAAGAGGACACGAGTGACCATGCAGTCAAAAACGACGCAATTCGCTGTGAAGGGTTGAGCCAAGGGGCTCTACTGGCTTTATGTTCCTCGAGGGATGATACGTATGTTTTCCTGTATGTCGAGTACTATTTCAGCAGCAACTGCCTTTGGTGTCTTTTGACATGCAATCAAGCGTGCTCTTTCTATGAATACAGCGTCAAGTGGCTCTTGTTCAAAAGTTGTTTGATCAGGATTACAACATTCAATGCCTCAGTACGGCCTTCATCACGTTTTACGACCAACATGTGGAGGAAATTTCCAAATATGATGCATGCCTGGCTATTGTGATGTTTGGTGCAATTCTATATTTTGGCGTGCACCATTACCGTGTGTGTTTTAGGTTAACACTTGACATGCCTTTGCGTGTGTTAGTGACGGGTGTTCCCGGTGGGGCAGCATACGTTCACCTTCACGTATAATCACTATTTGATAGATTCATAAGCACATGTTAATGATATATTTGTACACGGCACTGCGATCTCTTTAGGCGGCAATGCTTGACGTAAAAGGCGACTAACGGGATCGGGTGGTCAGGCTCGCTGACTTGGTTGATATATGTCATCGATTCCAATTGCGTAGATCGATGCTCATGATGTCAATCACTTGATTGTCTGGCCCAGACTCGATTATTTTACAGACCGCCGTCATATAGCTGGAATATTGCTGAGTGCGGCGTTAAACAACAAACAAACAAATATGATTAAGAAAGGGTTGTGAGAAACATGATCATAAACTGCCCTTTTAAGGCGCTTCAACAGACCCGCTCCTACCGTCACTTCACTTATCTAGTTGCGCTTATAAGTGTAAAGATTGATGTAACAAAACAATATCACTATCAACTTTTGCCCTGGATCTCTATATAAAGCTCCATAAAACTCCGTACCAGGAGAGATGGATTGTAGGGTCTAGCAAATGTACCAACAAATTCTTGTCGCAAAAGATTAACCCTAACTCTAAGAACAATCAAAGAAGGTATTTTTGTTCCTGGAATCCTGGCAACGCACAAAGATGAGTATATTATAATGACAATGGAAACGGGAAAGCTTTGGTTATGGCAATAACAAATGTGACGACCATGTCATAGCGCTCACATTTATCGGATCGGCATTGTTGGCCACGATGTTAATAACAGAGAACACGGAAATGACAAGTGAGTGAGTGAGTAAGTATAGTTAAACGCCGCTTTGAACAGACTTCCAGTTGTACTACGACGTATCAGCTTATTGTGGGAGGAAAGCCACGAGGTGATGCAGGTCTCAGACGTTTACCACTTCGGTGAGAGCCACGAGCACGGGTATGGTGATGAAAAACCTAGAAACATAATCTGGACGAACCGGGATTCGAACCCACAGTCATAGGTTTCTGGTGTGTCCAAGGGACGCAAAATGTACTTATTTGTATCCTACTACACATCAACATGAATGTACAAATCCATTTCTAAATGAGAGTATAATCTGTTGCTATCATGCGCTTTACGGTATGAAATATGTATGCCTCTTTACGAAATAAATTGATTGACCTGATAGCAACTGGCCAGTCCTTTGAAAGTTATCATGTATGACAACATTTGATACTGGGAACCTTAAATCTACAAAAGTGGAGAGTGAGTAAGCTGGGCTTAATGCAGTTACATCACGCCCTGTCAGCTTCCGTGTAATGTTGGGGAAAGCCCTGTTGTGGCTTATTCTTCCATGAATCCCCAACAATTGAAAGAATTCTCAAATGTCCAAGGTGGACATGCCTGATTTCTATTACAGATAGACGTGTATTTAATGTATCAGGTTGTGTTTGAATTGCGTAAGTGAGTGAATGGATTTAACGCCGCTTTGAACAGTATGCCGTTTATATAACGGTATAAGTGATACAGGCCTCAGACGATTTAAATTACCACTTTCATGAAACCCATCAGTATGGGTATGGTACTGACAAACCTTAGAAGACCTGGCCAAATGATGTCAATAGTATTGATTTAGACGTGCGGTTATAATACCACTGGACATTTAAAGCTGATAACTGACCAGTATGACGTCCAACCAAGGCATTTACTTTACTATTGGTGTTTGATAGGACACCGTGTGGCGTGTGGCAGCTCATTGCAATGCGAGTGTTACGGTTTTAAGCTTTCAATTTCGTCGAGAGACCCGATCTAAATAATATACTCCACAAACAATTGTTTGTGATCTTCCACCTTAACCCATGCTAGAAAATATCTCAGAATCCACGAACGTTCAACTATCCTTGTCCTTTTTATTTTGTTTGTTTGTTGTTTAACGCCGATCTCAGCTATCCTTATCTGACAAAATGATGAAGATATCACCATAATAATTTCTCCGAATATCAGTTAATGGCCGGACCTATCGTCAAACATCTATTAAGCGTCAGAGCTCTCGATAATTAACAACAAAATCATTGTCAACAAAGATTGAAAGATAGGGAAAAGTATTTATTCAAGATTGCAGGACATTAATTCATGATTACGCTCGCTGGGAAACTGCTTCACCTGAAAGTAAAAGCATACATTTAGTACGTTATCCGGCTGTACATCATCAGTACGGATCTGAGGATCACACTGGATGTGTGGTGGTATAATGGTTGGATTTCTCACCACAATATATAACTGATATTTTCGTCATGGTACACTGTTAAGCCTTCATTCTATCGACCCCGGTTATACAGACTCGATTACTCACAAGCCACGGTGATAGGGCTGCATATTTGCTGATTACATGATTTAATGAACCATTTAATGGGGGGATGGGGAGTGGAGAATTAACCCAGAATATGTTTGAAAAATAGAATTATGCTTCAGACTGTTGACAAAAAATACATTGTTGCAAGAAAAGTTCTTTAGGCTCGATTTTCATAGAGGACTGGTCAGTTCGTTATGTTTGAAACATCCCCAACAGGTATAGGAGTTGAGATAATGGATAATGGATACTGATTGCAAAATGGTACATGCTCTGACCACTTTGTACCATCACATGTACCAGTACAATTTAGCCTTTCGAACCGACATGACAAGAAGCAATGTTGCCCATATACCCTCTGGCGTGAATTGTGCATGTGTTCAATGCATCCATGCTTATTTAAATAATTATAAATTGCTGCTTTGCCGGCATGTCATTTCAAAGGTAGGAAATATAAATTCAAGTTTATGGAAAAGTTTCGTCGAACAAAAACAGTTAACTCAAAGGGTATGTCACATTCATATAACTTACATTTAGACAGATGCGCTGGAAGAGCATCTGTTCGACCTCAGTTAACGCTGCCGTTACCCGCCGCCATTGCCATTGCCGTTACCGTTGCCGTTGTCATTGCCGTTACCGTTGTCTTTGCCATTGCCGTTACCGTTGCCGTTATCATTGCCGTTACCGTTGCCATTGCCATTACCGTTGTCTTTACCGTTGCCATTGCCGTTACCGTTGTCGTCATATTTGTCATCATTGTTCCCTTCGTCACATTCTCTATAGCCGTTCTCACCGTTGCCATTGCCATTGCCGTTCTCACCGTTGCCATTGCCATTGCCGTTCTCACCGTTGCCATTGCCATTGCCGTTCTCACCGTTGCCATTGCCGTTGCCGTTCTCACCTTTGCGTCTGCACCTCCTTTTACGAGGAGCGCTTAGGGCGACAGCGCAAACACATGCCAAGACAAGGAGAAATACGGCGAACTTCATGTCTGCTGTTCAAATACCTGTGAAGTAGGAAAGACTCTTCAATGTCATTCATGTGCTGATCAAATCTTGTTAAGACTTGCCATCAAACCCTCACTACCTCTCATTGCCATGATTTAATTGACAAACAAGTGACAAACAACATGAATGACTTATATTTAAGACATCGTTTACATTTAATCACGTATTATTAGATTCCTTCATCCTGCATGGTAGTTTATGGCAGTAAGTGAGTATGGTTTTTCGCCGCTTTTAGAAATATTCCAGCAATATCAAGGCGGGGGACACCAGAAATAGGCTTCACATATTGTACCCAAGTGGGGAATCGAACCCAGGCCTTCGGCGTGACGAGCGTACGCTTTAACCACAAGACAACCCCACCGCCCCTTATAACAGTGAACACAGACACCACTATTTGAAGTATCCCCGTACTCGCATCTCTAAGACACGAGTTCCAAAACACGGACCTGACAAATTCATAGGTATCGACAATCTGGAATCATTGCATGGACTTCTTTTTTCTTGCTATGCGACATTTCGTTACTTTGCATTGGAAGACTAATTAAAGAAATTGAAATCCATTATGATATAAGTCAGCCTCAGTGAGGTGTCGCGTTCAAGCTTATTGCACTTATAAAGCAATGTGCATGCACGTGTGCGTGTGTCGAAGGGTGTGGTGTGCTTGTGATAATCCGGACTAATGCTGGTGTTATAGTTCTAGCCTACTCAGATACCATGCTGCATTTTCAGATTGACTACCCAACTCAGTCACAGTATACTGACTCCGAGTTGACCACTATCATTTTGTCCCCTGAATGACGAGGGCCAGGCAGGTTAACTACAACTACCATCTTTCTTGGGTAAGACCCGCTCAAGGGATCGAACTACCGACCTTCCGATCTCCCACCGGACCCCCTATCCACTAGACCACGGAGGATGCCTCCTATCAATGCAGACAAGATTGGCTTATGGATAATTCGCAATTCGCTGTACTGAGCGAAGTCCCTTGGGCACAACAGAAACCTATGATTGTGGTTTTGAATACCAGTTCGCCCCGATTATGTTTCTAGGTTTGTCAGCACCATACCCGTGCTCTTCGGTTTCACCAAAGTGCTAAACATCTGAGACCCGCATCACTTTCCTCCAACACTAAGACACGCGTTAAACCTAACTCACTCATTCACTCTCTAATCATCGCCTACTAACAGTGAGGGCAGCACGTGTTCGGCTGAGCATGTCCTGTTCAACTGATAACACTGTCAGTGCGTATGGTTAGCGTAAAAAAATGACTTACCAATGCTTTACTAAGATTTGTTAATGCTCTACTAAGATTTACTAATGGTTTACGAAGATATACTAATGGTTGAACATGTTAAAACTGTACTTACAATTTCACTACAGATCAGATCGGACACAGTTGCGGGAGAAGTGCGGGATGCAAGGATATCGAAATGATCCCCCTTTATACCTTTTGTTGGTTTTCCACGTGACTGATTATGGCGATATTTTTTTTACAAAGTTGACATATTTCGTGGATGAGGACGTCTTTATGTTGTGCAACAGCGACATTTAAGGGTCTGTACCGAAACGTGACTATTACAGCAAAATAAAGAAGTAGTTTTCTATAAATGATTTTAACCTTGTCAGTCCGTCATCTACTAAAATAGGCCCTTGATCATTTCTGACAACCGGCAAGAAAATAATGCTTATTTTATATTTGGAAGGTTTCATCCTGTTGTATACATGCAGTGCCGAAATGTAGACACTCACCACATTGCATGCAGGGCCGGAATGTAGACACTCACCACATTGCATGCAGAGCCGAAATGTCGACACTCACCACACTGCATGCAGTGCCGAAATGTAGACACTCACCACATTGCATGCAGAGCAGAAATGTCGACACTCACCACATTGCATGCAGAGCCGAAATGTAGACACTCGCCACATTGCATGCAGTGCCGTAATGTAGACACTCACCATATTGTATGCAGTGCCTAAATGTAGACACTCACCACATTGTCTTTAATAAAGTATGGTCCTCATCTAAATGAATGGTTGTCATCATATATATATTTTGGTGCATGTTTTGCAAATAATTTATCTTGGTCAAAACTGTTATAGTGTAACATCCCATCTGTTTTCCATCTTGAAATAACTTGAGGATATAAACCTCTTCCTTATACACTATTGTCTAAAACAAATGGGGTATGGATGATATTAAAGAAAAAGAAGCTGAACACATACTTGATGTAGAAGATCCCTGGCAATCAAATTCTCACGCCGAATCATGTCGCACTTGGAGAATGTGGTAGATATCTATATTATATATTAGCGCTTAAACGTTGTATTAAATATTGGCGTGAAGTAATAACAAATTCAGATTCACAGTATCCATAAAAGTTATGAAAAGATATATCAGGCATAATGGAAAAAAACAACTGATAAAGTCAAAGATAAAGTCTCATCTTTAAAAATATGGATTTGGATATTTGAGAAAACCAGAGACTCGAGTCAAGAACATTTAAGAAATATATCAGAATTAATTTATAGATTAAATACTACCCATCAACAGGAAGATCCGGGATAGAATCGGTCTTCAGCAACCCATGCTTGCCTTGAAAGGCGATTATGCTTGTCTTAAGAGGCGACTAACCGCCATCTAGCTGGAATATTACTGAGAGCCGCGTTAAACAACAAACAAACAAACAAACATCAACAGGACTGGCATGCTCAATTGTGTGGTATTACTAATATGTTTCATTATTCATCGTTCAAGAATCAATTTTCTGTTGAGCCTTATATAAATGCAGTAAGAATAAGTAAAATCAGGTATGCTATTACACAGTTCCGCTGTAGCTCACATCAGTTATTATTTTGAGACAGGTAGATATGTACATGTACCTAGACAGCAAAGACTGTGCAAGGTATGAAATCAAGGCTATGTAGAGACGGAGTACCCTGTTTTGCTCATCTGTAATGTCTAACATGATCTCAGCCAATGAGTTCCAGAAATATTATGTGTGTAGCAGGGCGTGGAGTCATCCCACTGATGACATCCTTACCTTGTCAGCTTGCTGACGGGGTTAATCTCTTTGGTCATGTGGAAGAGGCGTCCGACTTCTGATTAGAAGGTCCGTGTTTCGAATCCAATCACGGGACTCGGAAATTTTATGGCAGCTACATTGGCGCCAAACGTGGGACTGAGCCCTTTCATTTTAAATTTGAGCAAAATAAGTTTCATTACCCTACTATTCGGCCCGGGACGTGCCTTCTGTTGACGGGGAAGTAAATTTAGCGGCCATAAAATTTCCGATTTCTGTTTAGAAGTCGGACGCCTTGTCCACATGACCAAAGAGGTTAACCCCGTCAGCAAGCTGACAAGGTAAGGATGTCATCTGTGGGATGACTCCACGCCCTGCTACATGTCCATCCTGGAAACATTTCACATTATCATGTCTACTTCAAATGAAACAATTTCAAGACATTTTACTACCTTTATTTACCACGGAAAGAATGTTTTAAAACTATTATTATGATTCAAAAGTCTAGACAGTGTCATGATGTATGATCGGACTGAGCTGTGTACTGTACTATACAATGTACCATGGGTCGATGGCCTCCTTCTGTACTGAATAAAGAATAAGTGAACTTTAAATCTTGCATTTGCTTCAGTTTGTGACGGTGCCACAGGTGGGGCAGGATACGCTCACCTTTTCGCGAACACCTGGTATCATCACCTATTGATGGTGATTCATCGACGCTTTCACATGATATGGTTGGAATTGTGCAATTTTGGTGGACATTTCTTATGAACACTAAAATGTTTGTTTGTTCTTCAGCGCAATATTTCTGGTATATAATGGTGGTCTGTAAATAATATAATACGGATCAGAGAATCCAGAGCATCGATCCACGCAGTTTGGATACAATGACATGCAATCATCCAAGTCACTGAGTCTGACTGCCCGATCAATTAGGCGATTTATATGACAATCACAGATTGTGAGGGACCTATATTCCTACCCGGAATGAGAAGAATATAATCCATGTGTCAAACCGTATGAAGCAAAGTGAAGAATATATTTAACATAATAATGATATCTTTCGGTGCTGCCTCGTGGGGACCCGTGGTAGAATGTGTCCCCAGCACCCTACTGCTTGTCGTAAAAGGCGACAAATTTGGGCAACCCGTTTGCCGTGGGTTGCGCCCCTCTATCGGTGGAAGAAGGTAGTCTGGCACTGGTTCCAAGAGGACGGTTCCTTTGCCCAACACACCACTTTGACCCTAACTCCACCTGGACGGGTGTTAGTTTTGGCCCGGTTCTATCAATCGGCTGGTTGTGCCATGCCCTGAGCATGTTAAATTTCAATTTTGAATAAATGCTGATATTCATCATAGTAATTATGGGAAAACATCACATGTTTGAATATTTTATAAATCTGCCTAGAGTCCTATGCCAGAAGGCGGTTCTCATTGGCCAATCTGGCTATAAATCAACCTCCAGGTTATATTTGACTGCACATTACTGTCAAGACAGAACCAGTCTGACTCTAAATTCTGTTTGTCAAGTTTGCTTGAGTCAGACATCCCTGTATTACTCACCAGCCATCACTCAACCCTGGCGACACAGCACAAGTGTCAGAGCTTGAAAGACAGAAATGTCGGCATTCATATTCACTTATTTCCTTGTAGACAAGAGGGGTAAGGGGATTTTAGCTTGGAATCAGCGTTTGTTTCAATGTCAATATCCATGGGTCTGTGCCTAAAAGATCGATACAAGAATTTTTGCCTTGGCGAATCTGTGATTCGAATTCACAATCAGCGGATCATAGCACGGCGAAGGGATGCAACTCTCGACAGCTGATTATTGGCTTTATACAACAAGGCTTCGCCGAGAAAAAATGTTATATACTTTTATGAAAATATTATTTTTGTTTGTTTTTGGTTTGTTTTATGTTTAACGCAATATTCCAGCTATGTGAGGGCAGTCTGTAACTAATCGAGTCTGGACAAGACAATACAGTGATTGACATCATGAACATCGATCTGCGCAATTGGGATATGATGACATGCATCAACAAAGTCACTGATCCTCACCACCCGATCCAGCATGGGTTTGTACAACTTGTTCAAGTCTCATTCTAGCTGAAATATTGCCGACTTGACGTGAAAATTTAACTCACTCTTTCAGGGCTTACTTTCAGTATTATGCATTGAAGTGAGCAAATATGCGTCCTCCTTGTGTCGTATATAAGTAGATGTGTGAACATAGGCGGTAACGTCACCCTTTCTAGTACTCTTTCTAGTATATCTTTAGAGCTGAGTACGGTGCAGCATCGTTCCTCTTGCACGCTTTATTATTACGTTACTCTAGAAGATAGAAATATATTAAAATAAAAACATATAAGGTATTTAGGTTGTTAGGCGTGCCGCTGCCCTGTTCCTTGGGCCACTGGAAGATTTGTGGTTGGAGACGATTGCCGATACATTACCGCCTTCATATACTATGTCACAACATCTTGGGTTGAAAGGAGCTGAGGCATCTAGAACCACTTTGGCAACTCTGATCATCGGACTAACAGCCTTGAAGAGTGGCACCACAAGACCAACCATCTAGCTAGGAAGAGGCACTCCAACATTTGCGAGGTGGCGCAGCTGTCCAGAGAGAGCAGTCCAACACCGAAGTCAGCATCCTTGGCATGGTCGGCAACCCCTCTGAACCTCCTCGTAAGCGACGTTACCGCCAGATCGACGCCCACCCCGGGTCATTGAAGGAGGACCTGGTCAGCAACCATCTGTCTGACAGTGACTATACAGACCATTTGTCGGAACTACTTCATCGTTACTGAACATTGATAGGAATATGTACATTTAAAAATTTTAAACATTTTAACTTAACATGCATAAATACAGTAATGGAACTGATGAGCGGTGCTTCTTCTGTTCTCGTTTTATTTTCCTGGTACCGGGAGCGGTAAATGTTGTGTCAATGAACCGTGTCTGAGCCTCACTGGTCCCGGGAACGCTACGAAGAGTTGTCCTCTTAAAAATCACATTTGGCGCTCCCAGGCCGACACCGTTGTGTACATTATTCTCAATTGTCGGCCAACACATACAGTTTGGACGTCGAGCCTCCAAACAGAGACAACATTCATTAACGTTGTTGTGTTTTTCCATTTCAAACATATCACGCGTATTTACCTTCGCTGACGAACTGGAAGAGGACATAAATGTTCATCAGAAAGACGTTTCAAACTGCCCCAGCCATCACTCAACCCAGGTGACACGGCACAAATGACAGAAATGTCGGCGTTCGTAGAAGTGGGAAAGATTTCATATTCACTTTTTTTTTCCTTGTAAATAAGAGGGAGGAAGGGTTTTTTTTGGCTTGAGATCAGAGTTTGTTTCAATATGGGCCTGGGCGTGACGGATCGATTCAAGGATTAATATCTTGGCGAATCTGTGATTTGAATTCACAATCAGCGGATCATAGCACAGCGAAGGGATGCAACTTTGAGAGCGGATTATTGCACTTTATACCACAAGGCTTCATGGAGAAATAAAGTTATATAATTTTATGAAAATATTAGGTTTGTTTGTTTGTTTGTCTGTTTAATTGTTTGTTTAACGCAATATTCCAGCAATGTGAGGGCAGTCTCTAAATAATCGAATCTGAACAAGACAATACAGTGATTGACATCATGAACATCGATCTGCGCAATTGGGATGTGATGACATGCATCAACCAAGTCACCGAGCCTGACCACCCGATCCGGTTATGTTAGCCACCTCTTACGACCAGCATGGATTGTTGAAGACCAATTGAAAACCGGATCTTCAATGGTAAAAATATTGTGATCAAAACAATGAATCTCATAATAAATAATATATCTGTCCAACCTACAGCATATTTCACACAATACTGAAAAAACAAGATATTTATATCCTTTGGCCTCATGGAAAGCTCGTAAACATTAACGTACGTAGAGGTGTTGGTGCTCAAAACACAAGATCATAATCTACGATTCATACATATTCAATAAGCACAGCGTATTGATCACGAGGCATTTAAAAAAAGACAACACTATTAAAAAATTAACACATTTTATTGTAAAACGATCGATTGACAATATTCAAGACTATACTGAAGTTATTTTACAACTTAGAAAACAGGATATTTATATCCTTTGGCCTCAGGTGTTGGTGCTCAAAACACAAGATCAGGATGTGATCAAATCTACGATTCGAACATATTCAATAAGGACAGCCTTTTGGTCACGAGGAGTTTAAAAAAAGAAAAAAACTATTCAAAATTAACACATTTTATTGCCAAACGACTTATGGACAATATTCAAGACAATACTAAAAAAAATTATGGCAATGATGCATAACGTGGGAACAACTTTATGTGGATACTACAATGCTGCTCTTATCTACATGGAATTCAAGTAAAGCATGGATTCACTACAGTTACAATGTTAAGGTCTGTTAAAGAAGGCGCCTCTCTTCCTACAGGTTCTCATACACGCCCTCTTGTTCCGGAAGTTGTTTCCGTTTCCTCCGCAGCCGCCATAGTGGAACTCCTCGCACCTTCTGGTGGCTTTGTTGTAGTAGAAACGGTGCACCAGCTCTGAACATGTCCCTGCGTCCTTGCTCAGCTCACAAACTACAGGTGGATAAATAGAGGAAATTTCTTGTGTCGATTGAAATATCATGTTTCTCTCATCGAGTGATGTGGGAAAGTAGATACTCTCCTTTCCCCCGTTACAAGATGAGAGAAACATAATATTTGACGAGACAATAGAATAGCCTTATGTTATATACTTGTTGTGTAGTTGTCTACCGGATTGTTTTTGTCATTGCAAATGTAAGACCCTGAAACGTGTCAATTTACCCCATCTAACACGCAGTGACGTTTCACCACCCCTTGTTATTGCGATTTAAAAAGTAATTCCGAGTTTTCACTATTTTTCGTACATTAGGATATGATAAAATACAAAATCAACTTCAACTAAAAATATTCTTGAAACCTACGAGAAAGTTGTTGGAAGCGAAGGAATACACGCAGGCCGAGTGTTATCAAATGTTATGTTCACTGCAATACTACAAATATCATTTTTCTCAAATTTAGAAAACTCTTCCACACTAAAGTATACAATGAAACCAGACATGTGGTCATTCAAACACTTGTTATTGCAATACCTTTAATTTGTGAAGAGTGATTGGATGTGCATGATTGTACGCCGCTTTCGGCAATATCCCAACAATTGCACTGCGCATAACAGCAGAAGAATTTCAAACATTTCTTTCATGCAGAGAACTCAACCGAGGTGATTGAAATGTTTGTTTGTTGTTTAACGCCGCACTCAGCAATATTACAGCTATATAACGGCGATCTTAAAATAATCGCGACCAGACAATCCAGTAATTGACATCATGAGCATGGATCAACGCAATTGGGATGCGATGACATGCATCAACAAAGTCAACGAGCCTGCCCAACCGAACCCGTTGGTCGCATGAGTTACTGAAGACCAATTCTAACTCGGATCGTCAAAGGGAATGGAATGACAAGCACGTACAAACAATGACAATACCAGCATGTAACAAACCCTACAAATCCTGCAAAATATATAAACACAACAACGGTACGTTATGCCTTATAGTTAGGACATTGTGCTTCATACAGTTGTAAGATCAGATAAATGAAGTTTGAAAATTCAATAATATTCTTATCAATCTATCAATCCGGATAAAACCTGTCCAAGCTCTGGAATCATAGGTATAGAAAAAATATTCTTTTTAGAAATAAAGGCGAGGTGTCCAGGCACAGGATCAGGTTTTTTGCGGTGTTCAATGTGTTAGGGCAGGAGATGCTCACCCTCTTCGCCAACACCTGGTGTCATCACTGATTTCCAGTGGTCCAATCATATAATTTTCACAGCTATTTTGCCCTTTACGCCAAATGGAATCTGTTTCGGAGGATAATCTAGAGTGGATATTCTCTTGCATTGGCAATATTTATATTTCATTTAAATGGTTTTTAACGTCTCTATTGCATGACAGGACCCCGTGTTGCATTAGGTTTTAATAAGACGACAGTAACAGTGTAGATTTGTAAAAGTATGTGATGAGTAATACTATCGTTTATCTACGATCATTTGGAGACGCTGTGCGACTTACCTGCCTGTTCTCTAACACAGCGGGGGAATCGGCCAAACAACACCTTACACACCTTGTCATCTGTACATTTCAATTGCTGAAACACATTATGGGTTACACATTAAACGATAGGAAACCATTGCCTGAACGGACTCTGTGGTTCTAACTGATAACTGTCCCCGTCAAAATATGATAAACCCTCAATAGGAGTCACGTTAGGTGAGGTGGTGAATAATTGACTTGCATATGCATGTGTTTGTGACGGGTGCTCCCTTTATGTAGCGAACACATGGTATGTTGATTCATAAACACATCAGTATACTGTAGTTGGAATCGCAGAGCAGCAGAGATTTGGCATGGTTATGAAAAGGGTTTTGATGCTTTTAATAATTCCAAAACAATTTCGTTCGTTGACCTGGATTCTGAAATTTCAGAAATTTCAGCCGAAACAAAAGCCAACCCACAGAAGAACAAATATGCCCGCTCTAAAGTACTTCCTTCTGATTAGATGCCATTGAAGTAGTGCCCACAAAGTAAAGCCTCTTTTATTAGTCTCCATTCGGAATACCTATAAGTTGTTCTGGATGCTTCGCTTGAAACGAGAATTCAAAATTTACCAAGTCAGCTGGCTGATTAGAAAGTTCTGCAGATGGGTTGTCATATTAAAATTATTGCACTAAGCGTCGTGTTGTATGACGCAACTGGGCATCGAACCACCGACTTTCCGCTTATGGAACCAAAAAAGACTTGGCATTAGTGTTACGTGTGGTATGAACGGCAGGGGTTCCCGCTAATACCACAAATAACAATAACAATTAACAATCATAACATTAGATCGACCTCTTTCAGTACAACACTTCATTCAAACAAAACAAACCCAGAGGACAACGTCAGTATTTGTGTTCCACCTTGCAAATGATTAAAAATGAAGTAAATAGAACGGCATTAAGAGTAAGTGTGTCACCTTGATTCTAAAATTACATTTCATTTTGCAAAAGAGAGAAGCTACCATTCTACTCACAGCACAGGTATATTCTGGTCGACGTGGACACGTACAGTCAGACGGGGCGTTGCCAAACCGACACCCCATCAGGCATCGGAAGGGTCGGAATACACGGCCAAAACCTCGAAATGGGCGGGGATCTGCCAAAAGCCAATGGTTCTGAAGTCATTACTTATATACGGAAAGAACACATCACTACAAATGATCCAGGCGAATGTTCGAAAACAATTAGTACCTCCTGGCACAATATAAAAAAGCAAATCAGTCGATTTCATCCGTAGTACAGGCCAATAAACAATATTACCAGACAGATTACATATTTTTAATTGTATAGGAGAAACAACGTTTGTAGGAGCTACTTCGCTGATGAAGGAGCAAGAAGTAGCTCTGAAACGTCGTACAAAGAAAAAAGGAAGTTGCTATCAATAAAAATGTGTCATATATTCATGTTCTTCCAACTTCTTAATGCCTATCAAAGTCTACATTTACTGTTATCAACCTTGCCAGTCCATGATCGGAATTGGGGTGGGCGTGTCCATAGAAGATGGCATTGTCGTCATTGATGCATCGTCACCAGACACCAGAGCAACGCTGACACACGTAAGAATGGTAAACGGTACTGTACCGTGTGATATCATAGTGAATCTGAAAACAATTAAACATTAGTAGATTAAATAGTCTTAAAATGTGTTGGATCGTTATGGGCCAATTGTGTTGAGGTGGGGTGAAATGGGGTTTAATATCGCGTTCAAAATTATTGCACTTATTGTGAGGTGCATGCACGCGTGTGTGTGGCTGCTTGTACTAGTCCGGAATAAATGCCGATTTTATAGTGCTAGCCTACTGAGATACCATGCCGCAGTTTAACATAAATACCCCACTCAGACACAGTATACTGACTCCGAGCTGGCCAGTCCTTGTTTTAGCCCCTTAATGCCGAGTGCCAGGCAGGGTAATAACAAGTGCCATCTTTCAACGGCTTTTGTGCATATGTATGTACCTGTAAGAACAACAAAAGTAATAAGATAACGAAGGTGGAAACTTAACAAGGGACGGCAATAGTTAATTGACGCTAACAGGTGATTAGTAATCGTTAAGTGGTATCCAACCCTTTACAGTTCTCTGCTTCATAGCATTTATTCCCCCGATGAAGGAGTAGGTATAAACTCCCAAACGTTTTGTTCCTCATAATAAAGAGGTTGGCATCAATTAATTCTCTTCCTTATAAAAAGTAAGGAATAATGTTTGTTCCTTGTATGTATTAATCATAACTCGTGCGACATTGACTTTAGAAGTAATAAATGCACAAAGAATGACAATTGTTATACTTACATCAGACCAGTGGTGTTATATAATTAACGAATATTATATTCTTGTGTGGTGACGTTTCCTGATGACTCTTATTATATAGACACACGTGTAACGTCATGCCTGACCTAGTTCTCATTTATCATACACAATATGTCATATTTTATCGCTTTCACGCCATGCAGAACCTGCTTGTGACATAAAAAAAGACAGGTTAACAAAACGCGGTATAATTGCCCCTGATCGTGTATTGTTTATTCCGGCTGCATCACGCTCAAGATGCATATTTTATGCATGTGAAATATTATGACCATCGCCAGGAGCATGTCGTGGTTTGCTGGTAGATCAACAAGTGGTTTGAATGTCATGTATTGCGCAGTATACATAATTTTATGGAAACAGAAACACTTGTATCGTGATACGTAAATATGATCTTTTTGTGTTTGTGAATCTCGCCATAAACAAGAGATCCATGTTTTATACTGTTGGAGAATATATGCAACGTTACTATATCATTATTCTTGTATATGACGTGTAGGAACAGTGGCACATACATTTGGCATTTAAAGCTAGGTGGGGAGAAATAAGGTTACACGTCGCGTTCAGTATCGTTGCAATTTCATCGCGACATGTGGATGAGTGTGGGTGTGTGAGTGTGTGTGTGGGGGATACCATGCCGTAGCTGAACATGAATACACAGCATACTCGGACTCGGAGTCGAGCAGTCCTTCTTCTAGCCCCTTAATGCAGAGCGAAAGGCAGGGTAACAACAAGTACCTTCGTTTAACGTATTTCGGTATTACGCGGTCGGGGATCGAATCCCTGACCTTCCGCTTTTCGGGCAGACGCTCCACTAGACCACGGAGGCGGTCTGTATAATGCCAAGCTAACACACACCATTTGTATGGTTTTAGTATCTGACAGTTAATAAGTAACATAATGATAAAAATAATAATTAACATAAACCACGGTACTTATAATGAGAGGACACGAGTGACCATGCAGTCAAAGACGACGCAATTCACTGTGAAGGGTTAAGCCAAGGGGCTCTACTGGCCTTATGTTCCTCGAGGGATGATACGTATGTTTTCCTGTATGTCGACTACTATTTCAGCAGCAACTGCCTTTGGTGTCTTTTGACATGCAATCAAGCGTGCTCTTTCTATGAATACAGCGTCAAGTGGCTCTTGTTCAAAAGTTGTTTGATCAGGATTACAACATTCAATGCCTCAGTACGACCTTCAACACGTTTTACGACCAACATGTGGAGGATATTTCCAAATATGATGCATGAGTGGCTATTGTGATGTTTGGTGCAATTCTATATTTTGGCGTGCACCATTACCGTGTGTGTTTTAGGTGAACACTTGATATGCCTTTGCGTGTGTTAGTGACGGGTGTTCCCCGTGGGGCAGCATACGTTCACCTTCACGTATAATCACTATTTGATAGATTCATAAGCACATGTTAATGATATATTCGTACACGGCACTGCGATCTCTTTAGTCGGCAATGCTTGTCGTAAAAGGCGACTAACGGGATCGGGTGGTCAGGCTCGCTGACTTGGTTGATATATGTCATCGATTCCAATTGCGTAGATCGATGCTCATGATGTCAATCACTTGATTGTTTGGTCCAGACTCGATTATTTTACAGACCGCCGTCATATAGCTGGAATATTGCTGAGTGCGGCGTTAAACAACAAACAAACAAACAAATATGATTAAGAAAGGGTTGTGAGAAACATGATCATAAACTGCCCTTTTAAGGCGCCTCAACAGACCCGCTCCTACCGTCACTCCACTAATCCAGGTGCGCTTATAAGTGTAAAGATTGATGTAACAAAACAATATCACCATCAACTTTTGCCCTGGATCTCTATATAAAGCTCCATAACACTCCATACCAGGAGAGATGGATTGTAGGGTCTAGCAAATGTACCAACAAATTCTTGTCGCAAAAGATCAACCCTAACTCAGAACAATCAAAGAAGGTCTTTTTGTTCCTGGAATCCTGGCAACGCACACAGATTAGTATATTATAATGACAATGGAAACGGGAAAGCTTTGGTTATGGCAATAACAAATGTGACGACCATGTCATAGCGCTCACATTTATCGGATCGGCATTGTTGGCCACGATGTTAATAACAGAGAACACGGAAATGACAAGTGAGTGAGTGAGTGCGTATAGTTTAACGCCGCTTTGAACAGACTTCCAGTTGTACTACGACGAATCAGCTTATTGTGGGAGGAAAGCCACGAGGTGATGCAGGTCTCAGACGTTTACCACTTCGGTGAAAGCCACGAGCACGGGTATGGTGATGAAAAACCTAGAAACATAATCTGGACGAACCGGGATTCGAAACCACAGTCATAGGTTTCTGGTGTGTCCAAGGGACGCAAAATTTACTTATTTGTATCCTACTACACATCAACATGAATGTACAATTCCATTTCTAAATGAGAGTATAATCTGTTGCTATCATGCGCTTTACGGTATGAAATATGTATGCCTCTTTACGAAATAAAATGATTGATCTGATAGCAACTGGCCAGTCCTTTGAAAGTTATCATGTGTGACAACACTTGATACTGGGAACCTTAAATCTACAAAAGTGGAGAGTGAGTGAGCTGGGCTTAATACAGTTACATCACGCCCTGTCAGCTTCCGTGTAATGTTGGGGAAAGCCCTGTTGTGGCTTATTCTTCCAGGAATCCCCAACAATTGAAAGAATTCTCAAATGTCCAAGGTGGACATGCCCGATTACTATTTCAGATAGACGTGTATTTAATGTATCAGGTTGTGTTTGAATTGCGTAAGTGAGTGAATGGATTTAACGCCGCTTTGAACAGTATGCCGTTTATATCACGGTATAAGTGATACAGACCTCAGACGATTTAAATTACCACTTTGATGAAACCCATGAGTATTGGTATGGTACTGACAAACCTTAGACGACCTGACCAACCGTTCCCCCACAAAGGGGGAGAAATGATGTCAATAGTATTGATTTAGACCTGCGGTTATAATACCACTAAATATCTAAAGCTGATAACTGACCAGTATGACGTCCAACCAAGGCATTTACTTTACTATTGGTGTTTGATAGGACACTGTGTGGCGTGTGGCAGCTCATTGCAATGCGAGTGTTACGGTTTTAAGCTTTCAATTTCGTCGAGAGCCCCGATCTAAATAATTTACTCCACAAACAATTGTTTGTGATCTTCCACCTTAACCCATGTTAGAAAATCTCTCAGAATCCACGAACCTTCAACTATCCTTGTCCTTTTTATTTTGTTTGTTTGTTGTTTAACGCCGATCTCAGCTATCCTTATCTGACAAAATGATGAAGATATCGCCATAATAATTTCTCCGAATATCAGTTAATGGCCGGACCTATCGTCAAACATCTATTAAGCGTCATAGCTCTCGATAATTAACAACAAAATCATTGTCAACAAAGATTGAAAGATAGGGAAAAGTATTTATTCAAGATTGCAGGACATTAATTCATGATTACGCTCGCTGGGAAACTGCTTCACCTGAAAGTAAAAGCATACGTTTAGTACGTTATCCGGCTGTACATCATCACTACGGATCTGAGGATCACACTGTTGACAAAAAATACATTGTTGCAAAAATGTTCTTTAGGCTCAATTTTCATAGAGGACTGGTCAGTTCGTTATGTTAGCAACATCCCAAACAGGTATAGGAGTTGAGATAATGGATAATGGATGCTGATTGCATAATGGTACATGCTCTGACTACTTTGTACCATCGCATGTACCAGTACAATTTAGCCTTTCGAACCGACATGACAAGAATCAATGTTGCCCATATACCCAGTGGTGTGAATTGTGCATGTGTTCAATGCATCTAGCATATGCTTATTTAAATATAAATTGCTTCTTTGCCGGCATGTCATTTCAAAGGTAGGAAATATAAATTCAAGTTTATGGAAAAGTTTCGTCGAACAAAAACAGTTAACTCAAAGTGTATGTCACATTCATATAACTTACATTTAGACAGATGCGCTGGAAGAGCATCTGTTCGACCTCAGTTACCCGCCGCCATTGCCATTGCCGTTACCGTTACCGTTGCCGTTGCCATTGCCGTTACCGTTGTCATTGCCATTCCCATTACCATTGCCGTTACCGTTGTCGTAACCGTTGCCATTGCCGTTACCGTTGTCTTTACCGTTGCCATTGCCGTTACCGTTGTCGTAACCGTTGCCGTTGCCGTTACCGTTGCCATTGCCATTGCCGTTACCATTGCCATTGCCATTGCCGTTACCGTTGTCTTTACCGTTCCCATTGCCGTTACCGTTGTCGTAACCGTTGCCGTTGCCATTGCCATTGCCGTTACCGTTGTCTTTACCGTTGCCATTCCCGTTACCATTCCCGTTACCGTTGTCGTAACCGTTGCCGTTGCCATTGCCGTTGCCGTTGCCATTTCCGTTGCCATTGCCGTTGTCTTTACCGTTGCCTTTGCCGTTACCGTTGCCATTGCCGTTACCGTTGTCTTTACCGTTGCCGTTGCCATTGCCATTGCCGTTACCGTTGTCTTTACCGTTGCCATTGCCGTTACCGTTGTCGTAACCGTTGCCGTTGCCATTGCCGTTGCCATTGCCGTTGCCATTGCCGTTGCCATTGCCGTTGTCTTTACCGTTGCCATTGCCGTTACCGTTGCCATTGCCGTTACCGTTGTCTTTACCGTTGCCGTTGCCGTTGCCATTGCCATTGCCGTTACCGTTGTCTTTACTGTTGCCATTCCCGTTACCGTTGTCGTAACCGTTGCCGTTGCCATTGCCATTGCCATTGCCGTTGCCATTGCCGTTGTCTTTACCGTTGCCATTGCCGTTACCGTTGCCATTGCCGTTACCGTTGTCTTTACCGTTGCCATTGCTGTTACCGTTGTCGTAACCGTTGCCGTTGCCATTGCCGTTGTCTTTACCGTTGCCATTGCCGTTGCCATTGCCATTGCCATTACCGTTGTCTTTACCGTTGCCATTCCCGTTACCGTTGTCGTAACCGTTGCCGTTGCCATTACCGTTGCCATTGCCGTTGTCTTTACCGTTGCCATTGCCGTTACCGTTGCCATTGCCGTTACCGTTGTCTTTACCGTTGCCGTTGCCGTTGCCATTGCCATTGCCGTTACCGTTGTCTTTACCGTTGCCATTCCCGTTACCGTTGTCGTAACCGTTGCCATTGCCATTGCCATTGCCATTGCCATTGCCGTTGCCATTGCCGTTGTCTTTACCGTTGCCATTGCCGTTACCGTTGCCATTGCCGTTACCGTTGTCTTTACCGTTGCCATTGCCGTTACCGTTGTCGTAACCGTTGCCGTTGCCATTGCCGTTGCCATTGCCGTTGTCTTTACCGTTGCCATTGCCGTTACCGTTGCCATTGCCGTAACCGTTGTCTTTACCGTTGCCATTGCCGTTACCGTTGTGGTAACCGTTGCCATTGCCGTTGCCATTGCCGTTACCGTTGTCATTGCCATTGCCATTGCCGTTACCGTTGTCGTAACCGTTGCCGTTTCCGTTGCCATTGCCGTTGTCTTTACCGTTGCCATTGCCGTTACCGTTGTCGTAACCGTTGCCGTTGCCATTGCCGTTGTCTTTACCGTTGCCATTGCCGTTACCGTTGTCGTAACCGTTGCCGTTGCCATTGCCGTTACCGTTGTTTTTACCGTTGCCATTGCCGTTACCGTTGTCGTTCGAGTCATCATATTTGTCATCATTGTTCCCTTCGTCACATTCTCCATTGCCGTTGTCATCGTTGCCATTGCCGTTGCCGTTCTCACCGTTGCCATTGCCATCGCCGTTCTCACCGTTGTCATTGCCGTTGCCGTTCTCACCTTTGCGTCTGCACCTCCTTTTACGAGGAGCGCTTAGGGCGACAGCGCAAACACATGCCAAGACAAGGAGAAATACGGCGAACTTCATGTCTGCTGTTCAAATAGCTGTGAAGTAAGAAAGACTCTTCAATGTCATTCATGTGCTGATAAAATCTTGTTAAGACTTGCCATCAAACCCTCACTACCTCTCATTGCCATGATTTAATTGACAAACAAGTGACAAACAACATGAATGACTTATATTTAAGACATCGTTTACATTTAATCACGTATAATTAGATTCCTTCATCCTGCATGCTAGTTTATTGCAGGAAGTGAGACTATGGCTTTTCGCCGCTTTTAGAAATATTCCAGCAATATCTATTCGGGGGACACCAGAAATAGGCTTCACATATTGTACCCATGTGGGGAATCGAACCAAGGCCTTCGGTGTGACGAGCGTACGCTTTAACCACAAGACTACCCCACCGCAACTTATAACAGTAAACACAGACACTACTATTTGAAGTATCCCCGTACTCGCATCTCTCAGACACGAGTGCCAAAACACGGACCTGACAAATTCATAGATATCGACAATCTGGAATCATTGCATTGACTTCTTTTTTCTTGCTATGCGACATTTCGTTACTTTGCATTGGAAGACTAATTAAAGAAATTGAAATCCATAATGATATAAGTCACCCTCAGTGAGGTGTCGCGTTCAAGCTTATTGCACTTATAAAGCGATGTGCATGCACGTGTGCGTGTGTGGAAGGGTGTGGTGTGCTTGTGATAATCCGGACTAATGCTGGTGTCATAGTTCTAGCCCACTGAGATACCATACTGCATTTTCAGATTGATTACCCAACTCAGTCACAGTATACTGACTCCGAGTTGACCACTATCATTTTGTCCCCTGAATGTCGAGGGCCAGGCAGGTTAATTACAACTACCATCTTTTAACAAGTACCATCTTTCTTGGGTAAGACCCGCTCAAGGGATCGAACTACCGACCTTCCGATCTCCCACCGGACGCTCCATCCACTAGACCACGGAGGATGCCTACTGTCAATGCAGACAAGATTGGCTTATGGATAATTCGCAATTCGCTGTACTGAGCGAAGTCCCTTGGGCACAACAGAAACCTATGATTGTGGTTTCGAATACCAGTTCGACTCGATTATGTTTCTAGGTTTCTAAGCACCATACCCGTGCTCTTCGGTTTCACCAAAGTGGTAAACATCTGAGACCCGCATCACTTTCCTCCAACACAAAGACACGCGTTAAACCTAACTCACTCATTCACTCTCTAATCATTGCCTAATAACAGTGAGGGCAGCACGTGTTCGGCTGAGCATGTCCTGTTCAACTGACAACACTGTCAGTGCGTATGGTTAGCATAAAAAAAGGAAGACTTACCAATGCTTTACTAAGATTTGCTCATGCTCTACGAAGACTACTAATGGTTTACGAAGATATACTTATGGTTGAACATGTTAAAACTGTACTTACAATTTCACTACAGATCAGATCGGACACAGTTGCAGGAGAAGTGCGGGATGCAAGGATATCGAAATGATCCCCCTTTATACCTTTTGTTGGTTTTCCACGTGACTGATTATGGCGATATTTTTCTTACAAAGTTGACATATTTTGAGGATAATAACGTCTTTAAGTTGTGCAACAGCGACATTTAAGGGTCTGTACCGAAACGTGGCTATTACAGCAAAATAAAGAAGTAGTTTTCTATAAATGGTTTTAACCTTGTCAGTCCGTCATCTACTAAAATAGGCCCTAGATCATTTCTGACAACCGGCAAGAACATAATGCTAATTGTATATTTGGAAGGTATCATCCTGTTGTATTGTTTTTATCCACAAAGACGAGTACGACAGGGCACGTAGACGCTCACCACATTGCATGCAGGGCCGAAATGTAGACACTCGCCACATTGCATGCAGGGCCAAAATGTACACTCGCCACATTGCATGCCGTGCCGAAATGTAGACACTCACCACATTGCATGCAGAGCCGAAATGTCGACACTCGCCACATTGCATGCAGGGCCGAAATGTAGACACTCGCCACATTGCATACAGTGCGGAAATGTCGACACTCACCACATTGAGTGCAGTGCCGAAATGTCACCACTCGCCACATTGCATGCAGGGCCGAAATGTAGACACTCACCACATTGCATGCAGAGCCGAAATGTAGACACTCGCCACATTACATGCAGTGCCGAAATGTCGCCACTCGCCACATTACATGCAGTGCCGAAATGTAGACACTCGCCACATTGCATGCAGTGCCGAAATGTCGACACTCACCACATTGCATGCAGGGCCGAAATGTAGACACTCGCCACATTGCATGCAGTGCCGAAATGTTGACACTCGCCGCATTGCATGCCGTGCCGAAATGTAGACACTCACCACATTGCATGCAGAGCCGAAATGTCGACACTCGCCACATTGCATGCAGGGCCGAAATGTAGACACTCACCACATTGCATACAGTGCGGAAATGTCGACACTCACCACATTGAGTGCAGTGCCGAAATGTCACCACTCGCCACATTGCATGCAGGGACGAAATGTAGACACTCACCACATTGCATGCAGAGCCGAAATGTAGACACTCGCCACATTACATGCAGTGCCGAAATGTCGCCACTCGCCACATTACATGCAGTGCTGAAATGTAGACACTCGCCACATTGCATGCAGTGCCGAAATGTCGACACTCACCACATTGCATGCAGTGCCGAAATGTAGACACTCGCCACATTGCATGCAGTGCCGAAATGTTGACACTCGCCACATTGTATGCAGGGCCGAAATGTAGACACTCGCCACATTGCATACAGGCCCGAAATTTAGACACACACCACATTGCATGCAGAGCCGAAATGTAAATACTCGCCACATTCAGTGAACCTGGAAAAGACGAAAGTTGTCTTTAATAAAGTATGGTCCTCATCTAAATGAAAGGGTGTCATCATATATATATTTTGGTGCATGTTTTGCAAATAATTTATCTTGGTCAAAACTGTTATAGTGTAACATCCCATCTGTTTTCCATCTTGAAATAACTTGAGGATATAAACCTCTTCCTTATACACTATTGTCTAAAACAAATGGGGTATGGATGATATTAAAGAAAAAGAAGCTGAACACATACTTGATGTAGAAGATCCCTGGCAATCAAATTCTCACGCCGAATCATGTCGCACTTGGAGAATGTGGTAGATATCTATATTATATATTAGTGTTTAAACGTTGTATCAAATATTGGCGTGACGTTATAACAAATTCAGATTCACAGTATCCATTAAAGTTATGAAAAGATATATCAGGCATAATGGAAAAAAACAACTGATAAAGTCAAAGATAAAGTCTCATCTTTAAAAATATGGATTTGGATATTTGAGAAAACCAGAGACTCGAGTCAAGAACAGTAAAGAAATATATCAGAATTTTTTTATTGATTAAATACTACCCATCAACAGGAAGATCCGGGATGGGATAGGTCTTAAACAACCCATGCTTGCCGTGAAAGGTGACTATGCTTGTCTTAAGAGGCGACTAACGGGATCGGGTGGTCAGGCTCAGTGACTTGGTTGATGCATGTCATCGCATCCCAATTGCGTGGATCGATGCTCATGATGTCAATCACTGTATTGTCTGGTCCAGACTCGATTATTTACAGATCGCCGTCATATAGCTGGAATATTGCTGAGAGCCGCGTTAAACAACAAACAAACAAACAAATATCATCAGGACTGGCATGCTCAATTGTGTGGTAGTACTAATATGTTTCATTATTCATCGTTCAAGAATCAATTTTCTGTTGAACCTTATATAAATGCAGTAAGAATAAGTAAAATCAGGTATGCTATTACACAGTTCCGCTGTAGTTCACATCAGTTATTTCTTGAGACAGGTAGATATGTACATGTACCTAGACAGCAAAGACTGTGCAAGGTATGAAATCAAGGCTATGTAGAGACGGAGTACCCTGTTTTGCTCATCTGTAATGTCTAACATGATCTCAGCCAATGAGTTCCAGAAATATTATGTGTGTAGCAGGGCGTTGAGTCATCCCACTGATGACATCCTTACCTTGTTAGCTTGCTGACGGGGTTAACCTCTTTGGTCATGTGGACGAGGCGTCCGACTTCTGATCAGAAGGTCCGTGCTTCGAATCACATCACGGCACTCGGAAATTTTATGGCAGCTACGTTGGCACCCAACGTGGGGCTGAGCACTTTCATATTAAATTTGAGCAAAATAAGTCTCAGTACCCTATCTATTCGGCCCGGGACGGGCATTCTGTTGACGGGGAAGTAAATATAGCGGCCATAAAATGTCCGATTTCTGATCAGAAGTCGGACGCCTTGTCCACTTGACCAAAGAGGTTAACCCCGTCAGCAAGCTGACAAGGTAAGGATGCCATCTGTGGGATGACTCCACGCCCTGCTACATGTCCATCCTGGAAACATTTACTTCAAATGAAACAATTTCAAGACATTTTACTACCTTTATTTACCACGGAATGAATGTTTGAAAACTATTTTTATGATCTGAAAGTCTAGACAGTGTCATGATGTATGATCGGACTGAACTGTGAACTGTACTATACAATGTAGCATGGGTCGATGGCCTCCTTCTGTACTGAATAAAGAATAAGTGAACTTTAAGTCTTGCATTTGCTTCAGTGTGTGACGGTGCCACAGGTGGGGCAGGATACGCTCACCTTTTCGCGACCACCTGGTATCATCACCTATTGATGGTGATTCATCGACGCTTGCTCATGATATGGTTGGAATTGTGCAATTTTGGTGGACATTTCTTATGAATACTAAAATGTTTGTTTGTTCTTCAGCGCATATATTTCTGTAAATAATATAATATGGATCAGAGAATCCAGAGCATCGATCGACGCAGTTTGGATACAATGATATGCAATCATCCAAGTCACTGAGTCTGACTGCCCGATCAATTAGGCGATTTATATGACAATCACAGATTGTGAGGGACCTATATTCCTACCCGGAATCTGAAGAATGTAATCCATGTGTCAAACCGTATGAAGCAAAGTGAAGAATATATTTAACATAATAATGATATCTTTCAGTGCTGCCTCGTGGGGACCCGTGGTAGAATGTGACCCCAGCACCCTACTGCTTGTCGTAAAAAGCGAAAAAGTTGGGCCACCCGTTTGCCGTGGGTTGCGCCCCTCTATCGGTGGAAGAAGGTAGTCTGGCACTGGTTCCAAGAGGACGGTTCCTTTGCCCAACACACCACTTTGACCCTCACTTCACCTGGACGGGTGTTAGAATGGGCCCGGTTCTATCAATCGTTTGGTTGCGCCATGCCCTGAGCATGGTAAATTTCAATTTTGAATAAATGCTGATATTCATCATAGTAATTTTGGGAAAACATCACATGTTTGAATATTTTATAAATCTGCCTAGAGTCCTATGCCAAAACGCGGTTCTCATTGGCCAATCTGGCTATAAATCAACCTCCAGGTTAAATTTGACTGCAGATTACTGTCAAGACAGAACCAGTCTGACTCTAAATTCTGTTTGTCAAGTTTGCTTGAGTCAGACATCCCTGTATTACTCATCAGCCATCACTCAACCCTGGCGACACAGCACAAATGTCAGAGCTTGAAAGACAGAAATGTCGGCGTTCATATTCACTTGTAAATAAGAGGGGTAAGGGGATTTTAGCTTGAGATCAGCGTTTGTTTCAATATAAATATCCATGGGTCTGTGTCTGACAGATCGATTCAAGGATTTATACCTTGGCGAATCTGTGATTCGAATTCACAATCAGCGGATCATAGCACGGCGAAGGGATGCAACTCTCGACAGCGGATTATTGGCTTTATACAACAAGGCTTCGCCGAGAAATAATGTTATATACTTTTATGAAAATATTAGTTTTGTCTGTTTTGGGTTTGTTTTATGTTTAACGCAATATTCCAGCTATGTGAGGGCAGTCTGTAAATAATCGAGTCTGGACAAGACAATATAATGATTGACATCATGAACATCGATCTGCGCAATTGGGATATGATGACATGCATCAACAAAGTCACTGATCCTCACCACTGACTATACAGACCATTTTTCGGAACTACTTCATCGTTACTGAACATTGATAGGAATATGTACATTTTAAAATTTTTTAACATTTTAACTTAACATGCATAAATACGGTAATGGAACTGATGAGCGGTACTTCTCTGTTCTCGTTCTATTTTCCTGGTACCGGGAGCGGTAAATGTGGTGTAAATGAACCGTGTCTCAGCGCTCACTGGTCCCGGGAACGCTACGAAGAGTTGTCCTCTTAAAAATCACATTTGGCGCTCCCAGACGGACACCGTTGTGTACATTGTTCTCAAGTGTCGGCCAACACATACAGTTTGGACGTCGAGCCTCCGAACAGAGACAACATTCATTAACGTTGTTGTGTTTTTCCATTTCAAACATATCACGCGTATGTACCTTCGCTGACGAACTGGAAGAGGACATAAATGTTCACCAGAAAGACGTTTCAAACTGCCCCAGCCATCACTCAACCCAGGTGACACGGCACAAATGACAGAAATGTCGGCGTTCGTAGAAGTGGGAAATATTTCATATTCACTTTTTTCCTTGTAAATAAGAGGGAGGAAAGGGTTTTTTTGGCTTGAGATCAGAGTTTGTTTTAATATGGGCCCGGGCCTGACGGATCGATTCAAGGATCAATATCTTGGCGAATCTGTGATTTGAATTCACAATCAGCGGATCATAGCACAGCGAAGGGATGCAACTTTGAGAGCGGATTATTGCGCTTTATACCACAAGGCTTCATGGAGAAATAAAGTTATATAATTTTATGAAAATATTAGTTTTGTTTGTTTTTGTTTGATTGTCTGTTTATTTGTTTGTTTAACGCATTATTCCAGCAATGTGAGGGCAGTCTCTAAATAATCGAATCTGAACAAGACAATACAGTGATTGACATCATGAACATCGATTTGCGCCATTGGGATGTGATGGCATGCATCAACCAAGTCACTGAGCCTGACCACCCGATCCCGTTATGTTAGCCACCTCTTACGACCTGCATGGGTTGTTGAAGACCAATTGAAAACCGGATCTTCAATGGTGAAATTATTGCGATCAAAACAATAAATCTCAAAATAAAAAATATATCTGTCCAACCTACAGCATATTTCCCACAATACTGAGAAAACAAGATATTTATATCCTTTGGTATTATGGAAAAGCTCGTAAACATTGACGTACGTAGAGGTGTTGGTGCCCAAAACACAAGATCATGATTCGAACATATTCAATAAGTACAGCGTATTGATCATGAGGCATTTAAAAAAAGAAAAAACTATGCAAAATTAACACATTTTATTGTAAAACGACTGATGGACAATATTCAAGACAATACTCAAGTTATTTTTCAATTTTTGGCAATGATGCATGACGTGTGATCAACTTTATATGGATACGACAATATGGCTCTGGTCAACATGGAATTCAAGTAAAGCATGGATTTACTTCAGTTACAATGTTAAGGTCTGTTAAAGAAGGCGCCTCTCTTCCTACAGGTTCTCATACACGCCCTCTTGTTCCGGAAGTTGTTTTCGTTTCCCCCGCAGCCGCCATAGTGGAACTCCTCGCACCTTCTGGTGGCTTTGTTGTAGTAGAAACGGTGCACCAGCTCTGAACATGTCCCTGCGTCCTTGCTCAGTTCGCAAACTACAGGTGTATAAAAAGAGGAAATTTCTTGTGTCGAATGAAATATCATGTTTCTCTCATCGAGTGATGTGGGAAAGTAGATACTCTCCTTTCCCCGGTTACAAGATGAGAGAAACATAATATTTGACGAGACAATGGAATAACCTATGTCTTATATACTTATTGTGTAGTTGTCTACCGGATTGTTTTTGTCATTGCAAATGTAAGACCTTGAAACATGTAAATTCACCCTATCTAACACGAAGCGGCGTTTCACCACCCCTTGTAATTGTGACTTCAAAAGTAATTCCGAGTTTGCATTATTTATCGTACATTTGGATGGGATAAAATACAAAATCAACTTCAACTAAAAATGTTCTTGAAACCTACGAGAAAGTTGTTGGAAGCGAAGGAATACACGCTGGTCGAGTTACAAAAATGGCGCTTTGCGAAACGAGTCTCCATTGACGAGTGAGAAATGTACAGTTAATAAGAAAACATTTTCAAGAGATAACAAAGAGCAAGAAGCGATATTAACTCCATAAATGACCATCTCTTTATATTTTGCATTGTCGATGTGGAACTAACAAGTTATGTACGGGCCAGACAGTTACAATATCGGGAGACACTTAGCGGGGAGGTAACTCTTGTACGACAACAGCTACGGCAAAGTGTTATGTTTAATGCAGTGAAATATCAAGTGTTATGTTCAGTGCAATACAAATATCATTTTTCTCAAATTTAGAAAACTCTTCCACACTAAAGTATACAATGAAACCAAACACGTGGTCATTCAAACACTTGTTATTGCAATACCTTTAATTTGTGAAGAGTGACTGAATGAGCATGATTGAACGCCGCTTTCGGCAATATCCCTACAATTGCACAGTGCAAAACAGCAGAAGAATTTCAAACATTTCTTTCATGCAGAGAACTCAACCAAAGTGATTGAAATGTTTGTTTGTTGTTTAACGCCGCACTCAGCAATATTACAGCTTTATAACGGCGGTCTGAAAATAATCGCAACCAGACAATCAAGTAATTGTCATCATGAGCATGGGTCTACGCAGTTGGGATGCGATGACATGCATCAACCAAGTCAACGAGCCTGCCCATCCAAAACCGTTAGTCGCATGAGTTACTGAAGACCAATTCTAACTCGAATCGTCAAAGGTAATGGAATGACAAGCAAAGACAAACAATGACAATACCAGCATGTAACAAACCCTACAAATCCTGCAAAATATATGTAACACAACAACGGTACGTTATGCCTTATGGTTAGGAAATTGTGCTTCGTACAGTTGTGAGATCAGATAAATGAAGTTTGAAAATTCAATAATATTCTTATCAATCTATCAATCCGGATAAAACCGGTCCAAGCTCTGGAATCCTAGGTAGAGAAAAAATATTCTTTTCAGAAATATAGGCGTGGTGTCCAGGCATATGATCAGGTTTTTTGCGGTGTTCAAAGTGTTAGGGCAGGAGATGCTCACCCTCTTCGCCAACACCTGATGTCATCACTGATTTCCAGTGGTCCAATCATATAATTTTCACAGCTATTTTGCCCATTACGCCAAATGGAATATGTTTCGGAGGATAATCTAGAGTGGATATCCTCTTGCATTGGCAATATATATATTTCATTTCAATGGTTTTTAACGTCTCTATTGCATGACAGGACCCTGTGTTGCATTAAGATTTTAATAAGACGACAGTAACAGTGCAGATTTGTAAACGTATGTGATGAATAATACTATCGTTAAGCTACGATCATTTGGAGACGCTGTGCGACTTACCTGCCTGATCTCTAACACAGCGGGGGAATCGGCCAAACAACACCTTACACACCTTGTCATCTGTACATTTTAATTGCTGAAACACATTATGGGTTACACATTAAACGATAGGAAACCATTGCCTGAACGGACTCTGTGGTTCTAATTGATAACTGTCCCCGTCAAAATATAATAAACCCTCAATAGGAGTCACGTTAGGTGAGGTGGTGAATAATTGACTTGCATATGCATGCGTTTGTGACGGGTGCTCCCTTTATGTAGCGAACACATGGTATATTGATTCATAAACACATCAGTATACTGTAGTCGGAATCGCAGAGCAGCAGAGATTTGGCATGGTTATGAAAAGGGTTTTGATGCTTTTAATAATTCCAAAACAATTTCGTTCGTTGACCTGGATTCTGAAATTTCAGACATTTCAGTCGAAACAAAAGCCAACCCACAGAAGAACAAATATGTCCGCTCTATAGTACTTCCTTCTGATTAGATGCCATTGAAGTAGTGCCCACAAAGTAAAGCCTCTTTTATTAGTTTCCATTCGGAACTTCTGTTTAAGTTTTCGAAATACAGAATACCGATAAGTTGTTCTGGATGCTTTGCTTGAAACGAGAATTCAAAATTTGCCAAGTCAGCTGGCTGATTAGAACGTTCACCTGGCGTGACCTCCTGCAGATGGGTTGTCATATTAAAATTATTGCACTTAGCGTCGTGTTGTATGACGCAACTGGGAATCGAACCACCGACTTTCCGCTTATGGAACCAAAAAAGACTTGGCATTAGTGTTACGTGTGGTATGAACGGCAGGGGTTCCCGCTAATACCACAAATAACAATAACAATTAACAATCATAACATTAGATCGACCTCATTCAGTACAACACTTCATTCGAACAAAACAAACCCAGAGGACAACGTCAGTATTTGTGTTCCACCTTGCAATTGATTAAAAATGCAGTAAATAGAACGGCATTAAGAGTAAGTGTGTCACCTTGATTCTAAAATTACATTTCAATTTGCAAAAGAGAGAAGCTACCATTCTACTCACAGCACAGATATATTCTGGTCGACGTGGACACGTACAGTCAGACGGGGCGTTGCCAAACCGACACCCCATCAGGCATCGGAAGGGTCGGAATACACGGCCAAACCACGAAATGGGCGGGGATCTGCCAAAAGCCAATGGTTCTGAAGTCATTACTTATATACGGAAAGAACACGTCACTACAAATGATCAAATCGAATGTTCGAAAACAATTAGTACCTCTTGGCACAATATAAAAAGCAAATAAGTCGATTTCATTCGTAGTACAGGCCTTTAAACAATATTACCAGACAGATTACATAATTTTAATTGTATAGGCGAAACAACGTTTGTAGGAGCTACTTCGCCGATGAAGGAGCAAGAAGTAGCTCTGAAACGTCGTAAAAAGAAAAAAGGAAGTTGCTATCAATAAAAATGTGTCATATATTCATGTTCTCCCAACTTCTAAATGCCTATCAAAGTCTACATTTACTGTTATCTACCTTGCCAGTCCATGATCGGAATTGGGATGGGCGTGTCCATAGAAGATGGCATTGTCGTCATTGATGCATCGTCGCCAGGCACCAGAGCAAGGCTGACACACGTAAAAATGGTAAACGGTACTGTACCGTGTGATGTCATAGTGAATCTGAAAACAATTAAACATTAGTAGATTAAATAGTCTTAAAATGTGTTGGATCGTTATGGGCCAGTTGTGTTGAGGTGCGGTGAAATGGGGGTTCAATGTCGCGTTCAAAATTATTGCACTTATTGTGAGGTGCATGCACGCGTGTGTGTGGCTGCTTGTACTATAGTCCGGAATAAATGCCGATTTTATAGTGCTAGCCTACTGAGATACCATGCCGCAGTTTAACATAAATACCCCACTCAGACACAGTATACTGACTCCGAGCTGGTCAGTCCTTGTTTTAGCCCCTTAATGCCGAGCGCCAGGCAGGGTAATAACAAGTGCCATCTTTCAACGGCTTTTGGTACATATGTATGTACCTGTAAGAACAACAAAAGTAATAAGATAACGAAGGTGGAAACTTAACAAGGGACGGCAATAGTTGATTGACGCTAACAGGTGATTAGTAATTGATAAGTGGTATCCAACACTTTACAGTTCTCTGCTTCATAGCATTTATTCACCCGATGAAGGAGTAAGTATATACTCCCAAACGTTTTGTTCCTCATAATAAAGAGGTTGGCATCAATTAATTCTCTTCCTTATAAAAAAATGTTTGTTCCTTGTATGTAATAATCATAACTCGTGCGACATTGACTTGAGAAGTAATAAATGCACAAAGAATGACAATTGTTATACTTACATCAGACCAGTGGTGTTAACGAATGTTATATTCTTGTGTGGTGACGTTTCCTGATGACCGTCCACTCTCTTATTATATAGACACACATGTAATGTCATGCCTGACCTAGTTCTCATTTATCATACACAATATGTCATATTTTATCTCTTTAACTCCATGCAGAACCTGCTTTGGGACGTCACAAAAGACAGGATCAACAAACCGCGGTATAATTACCCATGATGCGTCACGCTCAATATGCATATTTTATGCATGTGAATTACTATTACCATTGCCAGGAGCATGTGGTGGTTTGCTGGTTGATCATCAAGTGGTTTGAATGTCATGTATTGTGCAGTATACATAATTTTATGGATGCAGAAACACTTGTATCGTGATACATAAATATTATCTTTTTGTGTTTGTGAATCACGCCATAAACAAGAGATCCGTGTTTTATAATGTTGGAGAATATATGCGACATAACAATACCATTAATCTTGTATATGATGTGTTATTGTTTTGTAAGAACAGTGGCACATACATTTAACATTAAAAGCTAGGTGCGGAGAAATGTGGTTACACGTCGCGTCTAATATCGTTGCAATTTCATGGCGTCATGCATGCCTGTGTGTGTGTGTGTGTGTGTGTGTGTGTGTGTGTGTGTGTGTGTGTGTGTGTGTGTGTGTGTGTGTGTGTGTGTGTGTGTGTGTGTCAGTGTGTTAGTGTAAGTGTGTTAGTGTTAGTGTGTGTGTGTGTGTGTGCGTGCGTGCGTGCGTGCGTGCGTGCGTGCGTGCGTGCGTGCGTGCGTGCGTGCGTGCGTGCGTGCGTGTGTGTGTGTGTGTGCTTGTACTATTTCGGAGTAATGCCGAGTTTATATTCCTAGCACACTGTGATACCATGCCGTAGTTGAACATGAGGCGAAACCGCATTATCGGTGGTTCGAGAAGGGAGCTAACTCCCTTTGCCTAATCGAAAGTTCGAGGTGGGCCCACATTCGAAACTAAACGCACTTGTTGTTGAGAATATATACTACGTAAACAAACCCGCATAACGAACTCATAATTTGTCTATTTAAAATAAGTATTATGACTTATAATTGGATTAAAATGTACAAATAAGATGGCAATACAGCAGAACTCACTTCTACGAACATCGCCAAACTAGGTCGTGGGGTCATTAATATTCATGAGTTATTCCTTTTATGGAACAAGTTCTCGGAAACGTCTGAGGCTTGTATCATGTCCGAGATCAATTCAAGTGTAGACATATGTTCAGGCTTATATCGCCACCAACACTTATGATTAGATTGAAGTGTTATATTGGAAAAAGTAGAATGAGTGGTATTGCCTATGTAATTTTAATTTGAAGTAGATTTAAGTTTCTTGCTTGGTAGCTATTTTTGTAAAACTAGTGTAGTCAGCTATGACGCAGTTATTCAAATTTCAAAGACTTTTGTGCCTTTTATGGAATTAATGTCACACGAAATGATTTATACAGATATTTCCCATCAATATTACAAAATATGAATAATATGAAATGTCACATAATGACAAACGTGAGCCCAATAGCCTAAATGACTTCGTCAACCTTATGAAACCCAGCGATTTAAAAATGTGGGCCCACCTGTTTCGATCACTGTAAGACGGGAACAATGTGGGCCCACATTTTAGAAAATGGTTATAAGTAAGCAAAGCTAATGAAGCTAGCGATTTTTTAATGTGGTCCCTCCTTTTGCAATCACTATGACGGAAGAACGTCTACCCACTAGGCGATATACAAATGTGGGCCCACTTGTTTCAATCACCATATATGACGGGAACAATGTGGGCCCACATTTGAGAAAATGATTATCAATATTTAAGTAGAATTTCGCGATTAATAAATGTGGTCCCTCCTGTTGCAATCAATATGGCGGAAGAACGTCTGCCCACATTTAGGGATTGATTATCAGAACTAACGAAACAACCTAACGAAGCTAGGCGAAATACAAATGTGGGCCCACTTGTTTCGATCACCATAGATGACGGGAAAAATGTGGGCCCACATTTTAGAAAATGGTTATCACTACTAAACCAATCTTAGAAGATGTACTGATGGACACATAAATATATAATGCATTCAAACATTTAATTACCTTACGTTTTACCTTAGGGATAAGCTGGGCATTTAATAGCTGGACCAACAACGTGCAGCGTGGGTGACGCCATTTCTCGCAAATACGAAAACAACGGAGATAGCTCCCGTTTGAAATTAGAGTGACCTCCCTTTCCCAATATGAACCACTGATAATGCGGTTTCGCCGAACATGAATACACAGCATACTCGGACTCGGAGTCGAGCTGTCCTTATTTTAGCCTCTCAATGCAGAGCGAAAGGCAGGGTAACAACAAGTACCTACGTTTAACGTATTTCGGTATCACGCGGTCGGGGATCGAATCCCTGACCTTCCGCTCTCCGGGCTGACGCTCCACGAGACCACGGAGGCGGTCTTTATAATGTTTAACTAACACACAACATGTGTATGGTTTTAGTATATGACAGTTAATAAGTAACATAATGATAAATATAATAATTAACATAAACCACGGTACTTATAATGAGAGGGCACGAGTGACCATGCAGTCAAAGACGACGCAATTCGCTGTAAAGGGTTGAGCCAAGGGGCTCTACTGGCCTTATGGCCCTCGAGGGATGATACGTATGTTTTCCTGTATGTCGAGTACTATTTCAGCAGCACCTGCCTTTGGTGTCTTCATTTCACAACTTTTGACATGCAATCAAGCATGATCTTTGTATGAATACAGCGTCATTCGGTTCTTGTTCAAAAGTTGTTTGATCAGGGTTACAACATTCAATGCCTCAGTACGGCCTTCAACACGTTTTACGACCAACATGTGGAGGAAATTTCCAAATATGATGCATGAGTGGCTATTGTGATGTTTGGTGCAATTCTATATTTTGGCGTGCACCATTACCGTGTGTGTTTTAGGTGAACACTTGACATGCCTTTGCGTGTGTTAGTGACGGGTGTTCCCGGTGGGGCAGCATACGTTCAACTTCACGTATAATCACTATTTGATAGATTCATAAGCACATGTTAATGATTTATTCGTACACGGCACTGCGATCTCTTTAGGCGGCAATGCTTGTCGTAAAAGGCGACTAACGGGATCGGGTGGTCAGGCTCGCTGACTTGGTTGATATATGTCATCGATCCCAATTGCGTAGATCGATGCTCATGATGTCAATCACTTGATTGTTTGGTCCAGCCCCGATTATTTTACAGACCGCCGTCATATAGCTGGAATATTGCTGAGTGCGGCGTTAAACAACAAACAAACAAATATGATTAAGAAAGGGTTGTGATAAACATGATCATAAACTGCCCTTTTAAGGCGCTTCAACAGACCCGCTCCTACCGTCACTTCACTAATCCAGTTGCGCTTATAAGTGTAAAGATTGATGTAACAAAACAATATCACTATCAACTTTTGCCCTGGATCTCTATATAAAGCTCCATAAAACTCCGTACCAGGAGAGATGGATTGTAGGGTCTAGCAAATGTACCAACAAATTCTTGTCGCAAAAGATTAACCCTAACTCTTAGAACAATCAAAGAAGGTCTTTTTGTTCCTGGAATCCTGGCAACGCACAAAGATGAGTATATTATAATGACAATGGAAAAGGGAAAGCTTTGGTTATGGCAATAACAAATGTGACGACCATGTCATAGCGCTCACATTTATCGGATCGGCATTGTTGGCCCCGATGTTAATAACA